CGCGGGCTTTCGTGTGGAGGGAACTACGCTGAAAAAAAACCCGAAACCCTCACCCTGTGGGGTTCCCTCAGCCCAAAACCCAAGACCTTTGAAGGCAGCGAGAAGGCAGGGTCAAGAGGGTTTTAGGGTTTAGGGGATTACGGTTCGCTATTTCATGCCTCAATCAACGCATCGAGTCACTCTGTTCCTGCGGCACAGGGTTTCTCCCAAACGTGGTTTTTCCCTGCGCCGAAGAGTATACACACGCCCCACCAACCTCTGGGCAGACCGAAGCCCCAAAAGCCTTGCGCCCGTAAATTTTTAAGCCTGAACCCATCTGAAAGATGAGTCGGCTTGGATGTGAACTTCCCTAGGCTCTACACCCCAAGCCCCATTGCCTCGAGGACGAAAGAGGAAGTTGTCAGTGAGCAAGCTGCACATGTTCAGGCTGGGTGGAGGGTTCAAGAGGCACGAGGGTTTCGATTTGGGGCTCGGCTGTTATGAGGTTAAGGGTTTGCGGGTGAGTCTTCCTTCACGGCGCAACTTTTGAACAGCTGCAACCTTAAACACTCGAACGGTGGGTTGATCTCAAGGTTTATTCTTCGACTTAGCTGCACGCTATCTACCTCCTAATTGAGGTGATGTCCGGCTTCTGAGTAGGACATGGTGGTGGCCTTTCTCTCAAATTTGTATATTCAATATATTCAGTGCAGCTTGGGAGTGCATGTGCATTCATTGCTTCATTGCTATTGCGGTATTGCCCTTCGCGGGGTGTAGTAGCTTGGCTTGTGCTTTGGGTTCCTGCAGTCGTTCTCAGTGGCCCCTCCATGCCGTTGCATGCCTGGTTCCCTCGCTCTTTCTCGCGCCTGCCCTGATTTGGCCGTTGAGCCGGCTGGGAGCTGGTTTTCTGGCTGGATTGCCCTCTTGCCTCGTCTCCCTTGAGGGGCGGCTGCCTGCATTCTCATTAATTAAGCCCATGTGGCAGTGGCCTCACACTGCATTGCTCTGCGTGCAAACTGCCTTGAGCTCCACGCTCTGCTGCGTTTTTGCTTTGACGCCTCAGCTCCTGGCTTGCCCTCTTTACGCCGATCAGCTTGGGCTTGCGCAGTGACTCCTTTGGCCTTGTTCCTGTCTGTGTGCCTCCCAGCCACGCAGCTCGGGCCCCTTTACAGTAACTACTCTTCCTTTGTCTTCCGGCCCATCAGGGTAGGTCATCGACCCCGGCCAGCATGCTTTGCGCCTACGGCCATGCCGGATGTTCCTCGTTGCTCTTGTTGACCTCAACATCCCTTCCGAGAAGCCTTGGCGTGATGGGGTTGCCCTTTTCCTCCGCCTCTGCGTCGACAGTGCTATGTCCTCTCCGGCTTGGATACTTCGTGCCCTGGGCATTTTCCCGTTACCGGTTGGCTTTCTGCCCACAGATTCGTCAGAGCCTCGCCGGTCACCTCGGTTTGCTCCTGGTTGGCTTGGCCGCCGCGTGCAGCCAAATCCGGTTGGGTCACCTTTTGTGCTGGACTGCAGCCTTGGCGTCCACATCCAAGCTTGATAAGGCAATGTCCCCAATATTCCCTGCTAGGTCTTCATGATCTTTCTGCCCAATTGGGATGACGTCTGTCCTCTGCACTCGGCCTTCCCGCATTCTCATGCCTCGCATCATCTTTGGCTTGGCTCTAGGTTGGAGTCTTCCTTCCCCAGGCCTTTTCGGTCTTCTCTTGCCCTCGTCTCCTCCTTGTCCCGATTTGGGTTCGGGGGTTCTCGGCCTGTGAATTGCACGGCTCGCCGACGCCGCGTCAGCACCATGCCCGCCCCCGGCCCCAACAAGTAAACCTCTAAGCCCTAAACCCAAAACCTCGAAGCCCAAGTCCCCAAACCGAAGCCTTACGACTTTCCTCACAACTATCCGTAGCGGTGTCAGGCGCGCAAGCTGCTTGAGCAGAGAGGCGCATGACCTTGGTCTGATTTTTGTTTGGTCGGGTTGCTTTTCAGGTTGCAGGTTGAGGGATGCAACCTGAAAAGCTGCAGCGGCTCTTTCTCAAGTCTCAGACACCAGCTACGCAAAAACCCTGCACCGACCGCCCTGAGGCACCAAACCAAACACTCAACCCCAAAGCCAAGCTTCCCCAAGCCAGTGAGGTTTAGGGTTTAGCACGCACTCGGGGTGTATGGCACCCTGGGTTCCGGCCGCGCGCTCGCATCGCGTTGTTCAACCCACCGCGGCCACTCAGACCAGCTCCACAAGGGTTCAGGGTTTGTTTTTCGATCTTCTTCTTGTGTCGCCTTCGATGTAGCGTTGGCTGGCGGTTGTTGGAGCAGGCTGCCCCCAGTTGCCCCTACAGGGCCCAGGGTTTTGGTTCAGATCCAATCTCCGAAATTCAAGGTCAAAATGGTGAATTAGACATTAGTCGATATTCTGAGATGCATCATATTGTATCACTTGGTGCTTTCAAAAGAACAAAATAAAGAGGCTAGAGTGCGCTGTAAGTTGAAAACGCGAGCTCTAAAGCAAGAGCTAGCGCTTGAATTTCAAAGTAGGCGCTTAACGCTTTCATGTTAACGTTTATGTTTAGTGCGCGCAGTAGTTATACTTAAAGAGCGCACTAGCTAGATCTCTCTTACAGCTGAGCACTAGGCTGAAAGAGCAATATTCAACTTTAAAGTTTACTTTTAATAGCATTGGCTGGCTTTCTGTGTGGCGTGTGTTTGTGTCAGGGACTCGCTGTCTAGTCACCTGTTTCCAGATGGAATTCAGAGCAAGCTTGGGGTTCTCTCTAGTTACGCTGCGGGTGGTCAGCGGGGCCGTGACCTTTTGCTTAAGCCCCACGCTTTTTCGTAGGGATGGGCCGCGCATTCGGGCTTGGCTTAGGGCTTAGGGCTTAGAGCTTAGAGCTTCGGGTTTAGGCTTTAGGCTCCCCAACCTCCTGAGCCCCCAAAGACCTCGAGGGAGTGGCCTGTGCCGACTCAGGGCCACCGCGCAGGGGGGCCTGGTGTCGAAAGACTGGTGTCTACGTAATGGCTCATCGTAGATAATGAGGCAATTAGGTACCCTGTGCAGTCCTTTCCAGCAGAGTTTCTGCAGGGCCCTATTCCTCTGGTAGTAAGTTTAGGTGTGGGGCCTAGTGTCTAAGATTTTTTGGCTTCAGGGCTTTTTGGGGGTGCGGGTATTCAGGGTTTTCCTCTGGAGTCTTCGGCTTCAGGCTTGTTCGGAACCCTCGAATGCCCTTACACCTCCAGGGTTTTAGTGCTCCCAGCTATATTTCCGCAAGAGCAAAGGTCCCACTTCTCCTACTACAAATCAGGGTCTGAGGGACATCGTGCATGTGGATCCTTCTCTTAATGCCCGAAATATCGGCCCAAGAAATGCTTTTGGCGGGCCGACGAAGTTTCTCTAATTCCTGGGTGGTCTTCAATCCAGGCAATGCCACTTGGAGGAACTCCAGGGAAATGTCCCGCACCCAGAGACTTTAGAAGGAAGCATGAGGGTTCGAGGGTGAAAACGTAGGTAGAGCATGGGGGTCCGAAAGTTCTCCAGGTTAGGGCCAGCTGAATCATCTTCTTAGGGTTCAGGGTTCAGGCTCCCCCCCACCCCCACCTCCCTTCGCTGAGCTCAGCCGGGATCAAGTGTCTTCAGCCCCAAGCCCTCAACCTTCAACCCTAAACCATCGTGTTTTTCTTTCTTCAAAAGTAGGTCAAAGGAGCCCCAGGCACCCTGCATTCCTCAACTGCAAGCCCCAAGAGTCCTGAGCGCCTCAACCCCAAACCTGAAACCTCAAACCCTCGGTTTGGCTCAAAGCTTGTGCTTGCATCAGCCGGCCGGCCGCACGCCGGCCAGGCGCTCTGGCGTTGGGGGTTTCAAGGCTCCGGAGTTCCGGCTGGTCGGGCTGTTCAGTTCAGGGTCCACTTGACGGCTCATCGCTAGTCAGGGTTACTAGTTACTAGTTACTATCCCAAGGAGCTTTTCACTAGTTAGAAGCATAGCTACATTTTTTGACCCCGCCCCAAGTATAACTGCCCATGATTGCAAAAGTATGCCCTAAACCCAACTAAACCCAAATCCAAACCCTCAACTTGGGTTGTGCACAGCCATCGAAGAGTATGGGCTGGGGCTGTGGAGGGACCAGTCAAGTTTCTTGAAACCGATGGGAGGGGTCAGGAATGCAAGGCATCCAGCGGCATGTACTTGGGCTTTGAGAGGCTGAGAACCGTGAACCCCAAACCCTAAGCACTGACCAAACCCAAACTGCCCTCTAAATTTGTGCTATGGCGCGGCCAAATCTCCACCCCCATCGAACCCAATCCGCCTCAGGTGTGCAAAAAACAGTGCTGTCTCCTGCGAGAGCCCCCTAGAACCCCCCGAGTCCTAGAGTGTAGAGTTAGGTTTAGGCTGGTCTCTGGGCATTGGCCCAATCCCAACTCCACTCCGTCATCCTTTCCCCGAAGCCCTAAAGCCCATAACGCCCTCTCCTGACACCATAAACTTAAACCTTGATTTCCTCCACCAAAGCCCCTTCTCAAAACGGGGGAGTTTCCGGTCTTGAGTGAGGGGTCTGGCAACGTCGTAGAGCTCCAGCACCCAGGTGCCCAAATCAGATCCCAGCGGTCTGTAGGGGTCAGAGCTTTGGGCTTAGGTTTTAGGGAGTAGGGGAGAAAGGCTTAGGAAACCACAACCGAAGGAAAAGCTTTTTGGGCCTGGGTTGGCTTCTTTCCTTTTACACACACCGGATTCAAACTCACTAATGCTCTTCTAATTTCCCACATATTTTCTACAACAAAATCAAATAATGATTCTTTTTAAAGAAAATCTCGGAGATCCAGTTGCTTAGAGAATTCCGGGTATCAGTTCGGAATCATCGTTAATATCCTTAGGGGGGGGCGCAGGTAGGGGTGTTCTTGTTGTGTTCAGCTTCAGGTTTCAAGCGGTGGGGGTTCATCTAAATTCTGAGCTTGAGCCTAAAGTGTCAAGAAATATACGGTTGTAATGAACACGGCCCACGCCTTTTGCCGCACGACAGGGCTTGTCAACCATGCCGGTGGTGTCGATCAGCAAGCCGTTTCAGACCCCGTACCTCGGTGAAAGCGGCTAGAGTCTGAGGTTAGGGTTTGGGGTGTAGAGCTTAAGGTTTATGGCTTAGGGTGTCGGGTAGTGGGAAGGTCTTCCTTTAAGGAGGCCCAGCAGACGTCCCAACCCCGGCACCCTAAGCGTCAGCACTTCAACCCGAAACTCCCGAAATCCCCAAACCCCCAAACCTGAAGTACCAGGCCTTCAAGCCTAAATCCCAAGCCCCAAACACCCCACCCTCCGTCCCCCTTCTCCCCCCTCAAGGCTTAAAGCTACGACCCCAGCCAGCCCCAACGCTCTGCCGCTCAACTGTCTGAGCTTCTGTTGGGAGCATCCACTGCCCTAATCCCAGAATCCTAACCAAACCCTAAAAGCCTTAGAGGCCTCGACAAGACATGTTTCAGTTCAGGGTTCAGGGTGAGGGTAGGCAAAGCAGTTTCAGGGTAATTGGGGTTGCTTTGGCTGTCAGGTGAGTTTCGGCTTTGGACCCCCAAGACGGTTTGAAAACCCCAAAAGACCCTAAAGCCTCAACCCCAAACCCTAAACCCCCCAAAAAACCACAAAACCTAAGCAAACCCTCAAGGCCCCAAGCGCCATCGTGGATCAAGTCAGTCCGTGTCAACCCCCAAGCACCAAACCCCCGAAACATTCTTAGGGCTTAGGGTTTAGGGCTTAGGGTTTAGGGTTTAAGGCTTAGGGCTCAGAACTTAGGGCTTTTTGGGGTTTAGGGCCCGAACCTTGGGTTCGAGGCTGGAGAAGTTTTGCCGACCGGAGCCGCTGTCGCTGGAGGAGGTGGCCGAAGTCAAAGCACTTCTGCAATCCAAGGCTCCGGGTGGGGGGGCTCTGGGGGCTTTCGGGGCTTCTTAGGGATTTGGGGGTTTAGGGGGGTGGTTCGGGGGCTTTAGGGCGTTTTAGGGATTTTGGGGATTAGGTTTTTTTTTTTTTTTTTTTTTTTTTTTCACGGGGGCTGAGGAGTTTCAGGGGTTACAGGTTTAGGGGCTTAAGATGTCGTTTAGGGCTTAGCCTCTTGTTTCGGGCCTGGGTTGGCTTCTTCGAAGAAATCTCGCGATTTAGCTACTTAGACAATTCTGGGAAACAATTCGGAGGCGCTTAGTTCATCGGAACCCTAGTTGCAAAAGAGCTGATTGAAAGGCGTATCCGAGCTGTGCGAGGGGGTTTACCGTTTGAAACGGACCTTGGCGGATGAGGACTTCAGGTTTGGCCGGGGGCCGGGGCTAATGGGTGCTTTTTTTGTTGTGTGTTCGGGTTTGGGGATCAGGGTTTCCTTCAGGTTTCGTGTTGGAGCTTTGGGATGTTGCGGAAAGCTTCAGGGTCAACCTTAAACTCTGACCCCCAACCTCCGCGGTTCATACCCCGCTAACGTAAGCACTAAAACCTGAAACCTTGAACTTTCTAAGGTCCTGCCGTCCTACGGGGCATGCATGGGTAGAATCCACAATCTGGGATGAACAGGTGCCGAGTCAAACTTGGGTTAGAGGAAGCCAAAGAAGGCTAGAAGCCGCTGTAGCTATAGTTACGCTGCCGATGAACCTCCAACCTCCAGGTAGACCTTCAAGAACGCCCACCACTTGTCTTTTTGGGGTAGGCGGGCGCTTGTCGAGCGCTCAGCGAGACCCTGTGAGGAGCTCCAGGAGGCCTGGTCGCCCGCCGAGGCAGATTTTCACCTCATCACCACAGTTGCTGCAACTTGCGGATTGGCAACTTCATGAAGCCGTGGTCAGCGAGCGGCCCTGACTTCCACCTGTCACAAAACACTACCATCGCTGTTGCGGAGGCCCGCGCAGGCCTGTCGCAACACTGACCTCGAAAGGGACATGACATCGCTAACTCTGCAACCAAGCCTTTTGGCCGGCGTCGTTACGTCAAGTTTGTCTATGCTGCTTGGCACTGTGCTCAGCAACCCCTTCTTTCAAAGCAGAGGACGCTGCCATGGGCATGTGCTGCGGAGGAAAACGAAACTCAAACCCCAAAAGCCTTAAAGCCCTAAAACCCAGACCCTGAAAAGCCCCAATGCCCTAAACCCAGAGAACTCAAAGCCTTAATCCTTTAGACCCTTCGCGGTAGCTTTCGGCTCCCCTTCACATTTCGGGGCTTCTCAGAGTCTAGGGATTAGGCCGACTAGGCCCCCCCTTCCTTGTGGAGGGGACACTGGACTATTCCCGGGCGAAGTGCAAAGATGCACGGGGGAAGTCCCTGGCTTAAAGCTTGTTTCTGCTGTCAACTATGTACTGCAGTAGCTGAGGAAGTTCATCGCTCTCAGGAACAGCTATATTGCTAATAACTTAAGTTACCGAAGGGTGTTGCTGTTAAGAGGGAACATGCCCCCTCAACCTTGGGGCTAACTTAAACCCCAATTCCTAAACCCGTGGGGTTTAGGGTTCAGAGTTCAGGGTGTTGGTTCAGGGTAGCAAAGCGGTAGGTTGTGCATGTAGAGCTTGCAAAGGTTCTGTGGTTGGCGGTTTGTCTTTTGAGCTTCAGCTCCAGGCTAAGCCCTGAGCGCAGGCTGTGTATCTGTTTGGGTTCAGAGGTGAGTGTTATTGCTGCAGCAGGATTCCCCAAGGACAGATTGCCTTAAAACATCAAGTGCAACCAAACGGTCATAAATTCTCGTGAGCCGTCACCTTTTGCCACACTTAGAATCTTGCAGCTGGAGCCACTCGATGGTCCCCGAGTAGATGAGTAGATGATCCTCATCATCCACCCCTGGGTCTCCCCACTTAGCGAGGTTGTTTTCAGGATTGATGTCCTGCGGTGGGCCCTAAAAACGAATCACTTCAACGTTTTAGGCAGTTTTAGGGGTCCTGCAAGCCGGAACCATTATTCCCCATCGCTAGCCTCAAAGCCTTGCAGCCCACGCGGGCTCCCAGGCCCACGGGACCTTTCAGCGCGTCCGCGGCCAACGCCAAGGGTAACTGGGAGCTGATCCCCTAAACCCTGAGCTGCAAAACTCCTGAATCCCAACTAGCCCCAAACCCTAAACCTTAAACGTTTGGGCTCAGAGGCCTATGGTGGGGCCTGTGGGGCTCGACGACGTCGATTTAGGCATTAGGTGGCTTCCCAACCCCTAAGCCTCAGACCCCAATCCCTAAACCGCAAGCAAAACCTTGGGGAATGCGGGCTCGGACTTCTCAGGGTTCCTAGACGTTGGCCGTAAATCCTAAAGAGCCAGGGTCCTGAACCCCAAACGGCTAGGTCTTCGCTCTAAACCCAAAACCCAAAGCCCAAACCCCTACACCTAAACCATGAGAAGCCCCGCATCCTCATTCTCACCCTTAAACACCCTGAAAACCCGTAACCCTAAAAGCAAGACCCTTAAAGGGTTTGGGCTTTGAGGGTGTAGCGAGACCCCACATCCAAACCCACTGAAGCCGCGCTCCCCTAAATTCAGGGTTTTCGAAAAGGGACTTTCAACTTAGAGAACCACTCTTCTGGAAGCTTAAACCTCTGAAAGCCTTCCTGAGGAGCCCGAAGCCCTAAGCGCCCCTCAACGCTAAGGCGACCACACCGGCTCCAGCATGTTCGGGAGCTGGCTGAGAGATGCTGGGCCGAATGGCTTTCGGGTGCGTTTTGAGGGTTTGGGGTTTTGCCTCTGGAGTAGTGCAGTTCGAAGTCAAAGGTCCATCGCAGTAGCAGGTGCTGCTGCTATGCTGCCAAGGGCCATGACGACATGACTTGGCACAGCACGGGCCGAACAGGCTTTTCTTCCTTCAGCCTCCTGAGGCTTGTGGGTTTTTGATGCCATCTGCTAGCCTTGGATTCCAATCTATCCCCGGAACATCTTGAGACCCTCCTTCAAATCCACACCCGACTCTTGAAAATGAACCTGAGTTTTGGGTGCATCTTCTCAAGAGAGACCCAAGGATAACTGCATCATCGCCTACGGCATCTGGCTCACCGATCCCGATGGAAGCGGCGGGGCTGATGCCGCCGCCAGGTCCATGTTCAGACCCTTAGCCCACACCCCCCCCCTAAATGCATGTGGGTTCAGGTTTGAGGGATGTTCAACATCGAGGATTCAGGGTTGAGGAGTTAAGCTTTTAGGGTTAGGGTTGAGGCTGTCTAGGTTGTTTGGATTGAGGTCTGGGGGGCTCCGGCATGGAGGATTTCCCCTTTTCGTCTTGGCAAACTCCGTGTGAGGATGCTCAGTTGCTATCGCGAACCGAGGTGGCGTGCCTCAACGCCATTGCGACTTTTTTGCTCACCTATCAGTCGAATCTTGTCATCGATCATAGGGCCCCGCCTGGGTGGAGGGGGGGGAAGGCCGGGTGTACTCGAAACCGCACCCTAAACCCAAACCCGCCCAAGCCGTAAATCCCGTTGGGGGAGAGGGTTTTGGGGGGTGTGGGCAGTTACAATCGGGGCTAGTTGATGTATATATGTAATTTTTCAAAATAGAAGTGGGCAACTGTAGTTCTGGTTTGTTATGAAACCTATGGGGCATTACAATGAAGGTCCCAATTCCAAACCTGCTTGCACATCTGGGACAAACAAGAAATGTGGCTTGTCGGGCTTCTCACGACAGTTTTGGGTGACTTAGGGGTTTAGGGCCTAAAGTTTAGGGTTCATGAGGGAGTGCCGGCACGACTTTGAGCCCGGAAGCATCTGTCTTCAGCCCGAAGAAATGCGAACCCTACCTGACTGTGCATTGTACTCCTTGACAGAGGACGCAAAATCTCCGAAGCTACGGAACCCTGAACCACCAAACGGCAAAGCAACTTGAACCCTCCCGCAGCCGCGAAGGCATAAGATGGAACTAGTCATCAACGGCCACAAGAACGTCTCATGGCTGGGTTGTTGTGCATCTGTTGCATGCGTTAGCCCAAACTTTGACCCCCCCTGTACACCCTAAAACTCCCCCAACCCCCTAACCCTAAATGCTTCAAACCTTGGACCCCAAACTCGAAACCCAAACATCTTTTCCTTAACCAAACCTCTACCCCTGTGGGTTTTGCGGGGTTGGGAGTGAGTGGTTCCGGTTGCAGGTTTGTGGCGTTTAGGGTTGAGGTCTTTATTGTCTAAGCTCCTGCCCTGAACTTCTCAACTAGGATGCTGCAGTTATACAGGGCGCAGGCCTGTGGACCACTTCTCTAGGCTTTGGGATTCCGACTCTGTCTGCCGTGCCCCTGAACCCCCTTCCCACGGTTTGCAGGCCGGATTCGTAGTTTTGGCTTCCGGGTTGCATGGGGGAACTGGGGCATCATCTGAGCTTTGCAAGGAAGACGGGTAAGCCTGTCGGAATTCTGGTTTCGGATTTATAGTCCCGGGTTTAGGGCTTAGGGTTTATTGAGGAATCAGAGGTTTTGGAGTTTAGGGATGTCATGGAGGTTTTTGTTTTTTCAGTTTTGGGGTGTGTGGATGCTTGGGTTACTCTAAACCCTAACCCCAGAGGTGGCCGAAAGTTCGTAGAAGGATCTGGGGCACCTTTGGGCATCACTGTCACCGGCAGGGTTTAGGGGTTAGGGTTTAGGGCTGATGATCATGGCTGGTGCTATATTTCCTGTAGGGTCTTTACAGAGGGATCCTGACCTTTGAGAACAGGTGAAGGGCGATGAGCAGACGTGGATGGATCGCCCTCACATCCGCTTCATCGGCGAGACCGGAAAGGAGGACCCCTTCGCAGCCCTTAGAACGCCTGATCCAGTAGAATAGCCTCCAGACCTTTTGTAGATGTGTATGTGTATATGTGTATGTATACCTGTATGTGTGTCTAGGTATATGTATATGTATCTGTACTTGTATATGTGTATGTGTATGTATATGTATATGTATATGTATATGTATATGTATATGTATATGTATATGTATATGTATTGTAGATGTAGATGTAGATGTAGATGTAGATGTAGATGTAGATGTAGATGTAGATGTAGATGTAGATGTAGATGTAGATGTAGATGTAGATGTAGATGTATAGCGGTCCCTTGTGCGACGGGGCTTGTATCAAAGCCGTTCTGCTTGAGAGAAGCTCGTTTGCTTCAAGCCTTCGTTGCACCATCTGCGTTCCGAAGCCAGCGGCCGCGACAAGGGGCATTTGCATATTCCCATGGATGCTTTTCAATCGCCTTTGCTATATTAGAGTCTTGCCCACCAGGTCCCTTTACTTGGGGAGTTCAGCATGAGGGGGAGGGGATGACATAAAGCAGCTTTGTTGCAGCTACACAGTGCCGAAGCACCCTAGAATCCTAGACCTTGAACCCTAAACCCTGTGCCCCCGAAGTGGTTCCTTGCCCTCTGCTCTCTAGATGAAGAGTCTAGCTTCAGGTGTTTGGGGCTTCAAAAACGAGCAGTCCAGAGTGCTACCTGGGTTGTGGGTTCCTTTATGTATCGCCAGTAAGGAAAATGCGGGTTTAGGGCTGGGGTATAGGATTCAGTGAATGTAGCGTGTTGGACTACAGGGCTGCGTACCGCGAAAGGGTGTGCGGGCTTTTGAGGACACCAAGTGGTACAACCACAAGCAGAACGACGCCCTGGGCTTCTCGCAGAGGGTTTTGGGGTTTAGATCTCCATGGTTAGCTTAACCCTAACGCCCTCGGGTTTTGGTGGGTTCTGCAGCCTTAGGGCTGCCGGGCTTTTGGGGGCTAGGGATGTTGAATGGGGGCTAGGGAAAAATTAGGGTTTGAACCAGGGTTATGTGCGTTGTCTTCGGTTTTCAGGCTGTTGGTTTGGGGACTTGAAACCTAGAGATTGCTCAAACTCCAAACCCCAAATTCCCTAACCTTAAAGCCCTTAGCCCTGAAACCCCTAAAACTTCAAGCCTTAAAACAGCCGGAAACCAAGACAAAAACCCCCCCAAGAACCCCGACAGCCTTCAAGCAAGCCTCCATTTAGGGACCGAAGAGCCCTAAACCCTTGTTTGCTTCAACCCTTAGGCCTAAACCGGAAGCCCCGAGAGCTCAGACCGTGAGCCAAGGCTACTTCCTGTGGGCTCGAACCCAGCTGGCACTGGCCGGAAAGATGCCGTTTACAGGCAGGACTGTTTGCGGGTTCAGGCTTTGGGGGGGTTTAAGGCCCTAAGCCCCAACCCCTAAAGCCCTAAACCCCAAACTCCAACCCCTACAGCCCTAAAACCCCAAAGCCCGCAGCAGGCGATCACCTCAAGCTTTGCGCGCAGCTCTTCGATTTTCTGCGGGTGATCGAGTGCTGGGAGGCGCTGGTGTAGTATGCTTTCCTTACTGACTCAGTCCCCGGTCCTCTAACCCAATGACAAACAGGTTGCGAAACCTAGAGGATTGTTTTGGGTGTGGCCATAACTTGTAGATGAGGACCAGCAAGTAGACCTCCAACTTCGAGGAGGTCCACAGCTTGATGGGTTGTAGGGCATAAAATTTTTTGAGGCATTTTACTCGTAACTATGCAGCTGGCGGCTTCTAGATTCAGTAGCAGGGGTGTAGCGCTTTCAAAGTCATGGTGATCGCGACCATGCTGAGAATCAGACACAAGTCCAACACAGATGAGCATGTTTTTCACAGCCACACCAACAATGTCAAAACATGTCATTTGTTGACAAGCTCGTCACAGCATCTGTACAAGAGGTTGGTAATCATCGTGGCAACAAAGAACAGTGCTGAAAGGAGCTCTTGTGCATTGAGCCGGCAGAGCACTAACAAGTTGCTATCCCTAGCCATAGTCGCAAGAATACTTTTATGTCCCTTTCCCCAGCCCTTGGCCCCAAACCCCAAGCCCCAAGCCCCAAACCCTAAACCCTAAACCCTAAACCCTAAACCCTAAACCCTAAACCCTAAACCCTAAACCTTTAAGTACCACACCAGAGAGCCTCGAAGGATCTGGATGCGGGACATTGGGAAGAGCACTCTGCGCAGCAGCTGGGCAAACACCCTCCGGTTCTCTGCTTTCTGTACGTATTGCCGGGTGTGGGTTCAGGGCTTAGGGTGTAGGGTTCAGGGTCCAGGGTTTAGGGTTCAGGATTCAGGGTTTAGGGTTTTGGCCACCGTGTTGAGGGCTTGGGGTTCAGTGTGGGGGCTAAATGTGCAAAGTGGCGAGTCCGCGCGGCACCACTGCCTCACTTCAGGCCAAGCCAGGCCTGAAATCCGAATGCCAAACCGAAAGGCCTGAACCAAAATCACCTCCATTCAAGACACGTTGTCGAACTCGTACTTTTGGGGCGTGCTCCTAGGTGGTAACAAGGCAGGCCTCCTGACAGAACAGTTTTCGGAGGCTTGCTTGAATCCCAAATTCCGAAGCCCTAAACACTCTAATTTCCGAAGTCGCTAATCAAAGGCATCGGGGACAGGCTAAGATCTGTAACGATGGTGGCTGAAACCCGAGGCGCTGAAATTTTGGTTTATACTACCCAAGTATATAGGCGAACAGAGGGAGTCTAGTGCTTGCTGTACTGTTTTGTCAGGTGGATTGTTACGAGCGGAACACACGAATCCTCCACTGCCTCTCGAAGCCTTAAATCCTCAGCGCCAAGCCCAGGCACGCCTCCTCCCTTGGCCCGGTGTTGGCTGCCGTCCGAAGCTTTCAGAAGGTTTGCGGCCCGAAGGGTTTTGGTGAGAGTGCAGAGTTTAAGGTTTAGGTGTAGGGCGGAATCTTCTCAACCTGAGGCTTCCGAAAACCTTGAAGCCCGAAAGCCACTCTTGAACCCACGGCCCTGAAGCCCCAAACTCAAAAATTCCGAGGCAATAAACCAAGGTCCTGGATTTGAAGGTTCATTGGTCGTTGCCCTACTCTACTTATGACGTTACCCTACCCTGCTCAGAAGCCCAGTGATAACTACCGTTCAGGGTTTAGGGTTTTCGGGGTACTACGCCCCAAGCCCTAAACCTTGACTGACAATTGAGGGTTTTGGGGTAAGGGTTTCGGGCAAGGCGCTGGACGCCAATCCCGGATGGGTCTTCCCTGGCAAGAGCGACACGCTACAGGCCGGAGCCGTCCTTTCAACCATCGAAAGTTCCAAACGCCTTGTGCCCCTTAACCATGGGCTCTGAACCCTGCATGCGCGAAACTCCAACGGGAAGCCTTATTCCCAGAACCCTGAAGTCTCACAGTCCGAAGTACTGAAGCAGGGCCTTCGAACCTGAAATACCCTAGGAAGTGCGCCAATCCTGAACCTTTTGCACAGGTGCTGGAGAAGAATCTCGCGGCTTCCCTCAAGCAGATTCTGCCCAACGAGGCTGGTTTAGGGCTTGAAATCCGAAAGCCCCAGCACGTGCAGCAAGCCCTAAGCCTTACACCTCCACGGCTGCTGGAAGGTTCATGTGTTCCTAAATCTAGGGTTCTTGGTATCCGAGTAAGCTCTTATAACCAAGTATAGCTATGGCTACTTTACCCGAAGCATCATGGGTAGATCCCAGAACCCCAAACCCGAAATTCCTGGAGCTCAAAGGGCCCACAGCAGCAAAGCCGTGACCCCCAAAAACCCTACAGCCCGAAGCTTTGAAACCCTAAGCCCTAAAGCCAAAAACCCCAACGCCCCTAAAACCCTAAAGGCCTTAGCACCGCCAAACCCCTAAAACCTTAAGGCCTTAAACCCTACAGCCCTAACACCCTCAAAGCCCACACGGTAGTGCTCAGAGAGGTGGTCAAGCCGAAGCAGAATGCAAAGGATGCGGATGGAGCGCTGCTCACCCCGAATGGTTGCAGGGCTCAGGGTGTAGGCTTTGGGGTTGAGGGCGGGGGGGTGGGGGTGGGTGGGTGGGGATTTGCGGCAACCCAAGACCTGATTTTTATCGAAATAATTGCAAGCCAAGTTCCACAGACCTGCCCTTTTCTCTACATGATGGCCATGGTTCTCCCCAACTCTGGAGAGTGTCGGCTGCGCAATCGCCGCCTTCGTAGGCAAAGCCCTCTGCCCAGGCTCATCTTCCTTTGCTATCCGTTGGAGGTCGTGGACGATGATATGGGCCCATAGCTTGCAGCAGCTTACGGAAGGGTTTCGGGTTCGGGGGGGGGGGGGTGTGTAGGGTAATTGGAGATGGGGTGCGGCGCGTGGGGAAGGTAAGGGGTTTTCCAGCTCAGGGCCGACGAAAAGGCTTTCGCGGAGTCCCTAAAGCCTCAACCCTAACACTGCTTCGCCTCTGGCAACTTACATCCAGGCCATCTGCGGATTCGATAAATGGACCTTAGTTGAAGATTTGAGGTTCAGGGTTACGGCTTTCGGCTTACGGTTTATGTTTTCTTGACGGAGTCGATACTGTCTCACAATTTGTGGTGTTGCAGTCAGCACAAGCCCTAGACCTTCAACCCTAAATCAGCAGGCTTTATGTAAGACATCCTTCTGGATGCTGGGCTCTGCGTTCCTTCACAAGCCGAATCGGTATCTACAAGGGTCCCCTTGTTGTAGTGGTTGCTGGGCTACCTAGGACCGGGGCAGCAGCCGGACCTTGGGATTATGACTGGCAGATCCATTCCATGAGCCTCCCTAAACCCTAAACCCTAAACCCTAAACCCTAAACCCTAAACCCCCAATACCCCAAACCCGAAGCGCTGAAGGTGCCAAGATCCTCCAGCAGATGGAGAAAATCACGGGCCACATCGCCGTGTGCCGGTATCGCAAGGCCATGTTAGAGTTTAGGGTTCAGGGCTCAGGGCCGTAGTGGCCTCAAGAAGCCCAGGGGTAAAACCCTGCACCCTTCACTTCACCCTCGCTGCGGGCAGATTTAGGGTTCAGGGTGTGCTTGGAAGCGTGTGTATGTCACTAGCTAGCTCCGTATGGAAGTGTACACAGCCGACACAGGGAGTTGTTGCGGGTTCGACTTTCAGGTATGATAATGATAACTTATTTATACCTTGTATACATATATCTGTATATATAGGGTGGCTTGAAGAATAGATAACGCATGTTAAGTACACTGGTTTCGTGCCATTACATATCGTCATTGAGGCTTGCGGCTTACGTATCTGTCCCCTTGCAGAGATGTTGGTTTACAGGCTCTTGACTTTGCTTCTAGAAGCCCTGAGCCCTCTTTCTTGATCGGTGGCCGCAAGGTTGTGCACGAAGTCACAAGGCCCCTAAACTCCAAACCCCAAAGCCCGAGTCCTAAACCCAAGCCACAAACTCTAAACTCTAAACCGTTCAGGACAGCTACTGGTGCAAGGACTACAAGGCGCGCTCTTGAATCGGTGGGTTGAGCTATTCCTAAATCCTACCTCCCCCTAAGCTCTAAACCCTAAACCCTAAACCCTAAAACCCCAAGCCCGAACCTCAAGCCTGAAGCCAGCAAATCCCGACACCCCAACTCGTGAGTCCTCCGCCCGAAGCCCTGCACGAATGCCCACGTCCGATCAAGAAATGGGTGCAACCCGGGGTGATTTTCTTGCTGTTTAGGGTTTAGGGTTGAGGGCCGAGGGTTTAGAGTTGAGGGTTTAGGGTGTAGGAGTTGCGGCGGAATTGGAGATAGCTAGCCTTGTCGTGGAGAATTTGCTTGCAGTCGTGATGTTGATCTCTTCACCCTATGCCTTCAGCCTCAAACCCCACACCCGAAACCCTAAACCCTAAACCCCGGATCCCAAACCTGCTCCGTGACAACCTCCACTCCCGAATTGCAGGGCTTGGGTGCAGAGTCAGTTTCTCCTCCAGGGGTGTTAGCCGGCCGGATGCAAAGACCTGATGCAGTCCACACCCCGAATCCTTCTTGATTGTAATCCTTGATCTTGAGGAGCTTTACGCCGACCCTACGAAGCACTTCACCGATGAAGAGCTGAAGGCCCCCAGCCCGTCCCCCCCCCCCACCCCCCCGACCCTCTTGGCTTTGGAGTTTTTATGTCCAGAGGCTGGGGACTGAACGGGTTTCATGTTTATGCAAGGATTGGAAGCAGGATTCTGCGATTCAATTGCCTTAAGCCTGATGCCGAAAACTTGGGCATGTCGGGGCTATTTGGATTTAGAGCTTGGTGGTCTAGGGTACCCCTTCGCCCTATGTGGCGCTCACAGCTGTCCGGAAGGTTTTGTTTTGGGGCTTAGGTTTTTCAGGGTTTTCAGGCTCCAGACCCCGACCTGTTCTCCGGGCAAATTTCCTGAATTCCTAAACCCTAAACCCTCAAACCCTCAAACCCTTAAACCCTAAACCCTCAAACCCTGAAACCCTGAAACCCCGAAACTCTGAACCTCAACAAAACTCCCCGGGGGTCGCTTGTGCAAGGAGCGGGATGCCAACATCAAGCCTGGCGAAGAGGCGCCCCCCCTGGCTCTATTTGAGCTCCGGGGATTCTTCCAAGTGACTCTGACCCCCCTGAACCCCATGCCGATCTGCAGGCTCAGTGGTGCCTTTTCGACCCCATGATCAGCGCCTACTACGGCAAGCTGTACCAGAAGACGCAGTGGCCTGGCTGGACCGTAAACGCCAAAGCCTTAAGCAGCCCTTTGACGGGGGAATGCACTTGCTCGCGTGTCCCCGAAGATCCGCGAAGCCCCGATTCCTAAACCCTAATCCGCCTGAGCCCCAAAGTCTGAGCCTTAAACTGGAAGAACCCAAGCCGTAGACTTGCTTGAAGTTGGGAATTAAATGCGAGGCTCAAGAGGCGATGTACAGATTGGGGCTGAGGGTTCATCGAATCAGGTCTGGGTTTAGGGTTTAGGGTCGAGGGTTTAGTTCTGACGAGCATCGTGGGCATCAGGCTCCCTGCCTGTTTTCTGGCTTCGCAGGCGCGTTTAGAGTTTTGGGTTTGGGTTTGGTGTGTAGGCTTTCGGCCTTTGGGTCTAGGGTGCAGGGTTCTGAGAACTGAAAGGAAGAGCGAGTACCTCAGCAAGCAGCAGCTGTTCCTCGCGAGATCTCTCGCAGCCATCACGGGCGACGCAACCCGGCACATGTGTCAGGGGAGTTCGTAGGGGGTGCGTGAGGGATTGAGGCACTAAGGCTTGTTGGCTTGTTTGTTTCGAGTTGTTCCACATGAGTTGTGTTTTTTGAGTGGGGGGCTTTAGCCTTCGGCCGGTTTCAAAAAGGCCACCCAAAAACAAGAGCACCGAATTGGAGAACAACTTCCTTTGAGAGTTCTTTTCTAGGTGTTGATTTAGGGTTTGACATTTTGAAAAAGGTTTAGTATTCTCCCCGTCCCTTTATGACAAGCCTCGTCTGAGGAGTGCGAGTTCGGCCCCTGGATGTGTGCCGAGGCGAGAGGGGCTCATGCAGTAGGGTTCTAAGAACTCCCAACAGATACAAACTAGTTCTGGCTGCAGCTAGCCTACTTCTAGACCCAGGTATGCATACACCCACGAACCTCCGACTAGGCCTGGAACCTGCAAGGGCCAATGGCCTTTTGCACTTCCACGCCTCTGGTCACAGCAGTGTACAATATTGTTTAGGATCATGTGGCTGGGGTTGAAGATTTCAGATTTAGGGCCTTGGGCTTTAGGGTTTTGAGTCGTTAAGGTTTGAGCTTTCGCAGCCAGGCCTACTACTTGGCCAAGGGCAAGTGGCAGCCTAACGACAACACGCCCCTGGCGCCTAGCTACGCATGTATGCCTTCATGGGGGTTATAAGTCGGGTAGTAGCTTGCCCAAGGGAGGGTTACGACCAGTCCAAGCTATAGCGCTACAGGCTCCGGTTGTGACTACGCATGAGCCTCCAAGTAGACGAGGCGTGCTAGGAGGCTTGCGCAATTTCGGTTTGTGGGGATGTAAAGGCTTGTGAAGTTTATTCGGAAGTAGGGAAGGTGCTTTCGGGCAGCATACTGTTTATGTTCTGTTTCGCCCGAAGAAGTAGATGCGTTGGTTTGGTGCCGCCCTCAGAAGTAGGGTAGGTACGCGGCAAGATCAGCGTGTTCTATCTGATGAGTACCAGGGGTGGTGAGAGATGCATCTCACATTCCAGCAGAGAAAATGCACTGACAGACCTGCAACTACGGGCAAAGTTGTGGGTGGTCGGGCAGTAGGAGCAAACACCTTGGTGGTGGGGTCAAAGCACACCGAGATGTTGTGCAAGCATAGTTGTGATCTCTGTCGTATGCCTCAGTTATTGAAGCAACTTCGCGCGAACCTGGTCAACGCAATTCTAGCACAGAAGTCTCAGCGAGCAATTGCTTTGCCTTTCCCCTACTGGTCATGGAGTGAGTCCGCATGAATGTGGTTAGAGTTTCAGTGTAGTTATGCTTTTGGTCCCATGCATGAACGAACATTGGGCGGTTTCACGTCTCTTGGACTGGATTCTGCTGCCCATCAGTCAACGTAAACCAGGAAACTAGCTAAACCCTAAATCCGTAATCCTTGATCCGCCTGAAATCCTAGAATCCTCAAACCCCAATCCCTAAGTCCCTAACCCGCCTAAACCTAAGCCATAACACCGAAGAATCCTAAATCCCTAAAGCCCTCTAGCCCATAGTCCCTAGACCCCCCAAGGTGTGGACAATGGTCGACCTCAAGATGGCGCTGTATGCAGCTTCGGCGCGTTGAAGGGAGAAGATCCTCGTTGGGAGGGTTTAAGGTTTGGGGGTTTCAAGGGTCCACACATTCAAGGGTTTACATTTCGGGTTTTGCAAGGGGTTCAGGCTCGCACACTGAGGGTGTACCCCTCAAAGGACTTCCTTAGTATCCCTCCTAGCATGACTCCGAAACTCTTGCATGGGAGTTTCAGGGTCTGCCTGTGAGATTCACCAAGGGTACAACCGCAGGGTGTCTAGTGAAAAGAAGCCCTTTAAAGCTTAGGGCTTTAGAGTCAGGCTGACACTTACATGTACTCAAGGTCTGTCGGGTCTTGGGGTATACAAGCTTTGGTCTCCTCAAGCCCACCCTGGGGCCTAAGCCTTAAGACTCCCCTAAACCTCAATTAAGCCCAACACCCCAACCCCACAACCTCAGTGTCGGTGTGCTTCTCTGCCAGGAGATGGAGCGAAGCCTGGGAGGAACAGGCACAAGACCAGGGGGGGAAGCAATCGGCCATCTGTTCAGACGCATAGCCTCCCCCATGTGCTTGTTGGTGACCTTGCTGAGGGCCATATATATATATATATATATATGGCTATTAATTCTGAGGACTGCACTTGCAAAGCAGCCACCAACCAAGGCAACTGTCCACAGCATTGGAGAAAAGCATGATCCAGTGACTAGTGTGGTGACGTTGCTACACAACTTACTTTGTCAGTCTACTATCCCAAATTCTTTCCCACATGTTTGGCGATTGCCTCTCAAGCGTTTCAAGCACCACTAGACATGAACATGCATATAGCATTTTTCTTATCTATGTCCGTTACCCTATTCTCCATCCAACCCTGTCGAACCTACCATTCTTGAAGAACCCGGGCTTGCTACGATCAGCCCATGGATATGCTGTACATTTCGCTCGTGGGACAACAGATGCGATCTAAAACCATGCAGGCCTTCCCTCCTCATCGTTCTGCGCCATTCTGTGAGTAGAAAGTCGCCGGAGGGGCCGGGAAGAACCTTCCAGGATTCAGAGTGCCAAAGAAACCCCCTAGTCAACCCTAGACCCCCAACCTCAGACCCTAAACCCTATTTGGACGTCGGAGCATATGTCTAGGAACTAAGGTTTTGGGAGAAAGGGTTTCGGGCGTAGGGTTAGGGTTGGGGGTTTCAGGCGTAGGTGTAGGAGGCATGCCGGGCCGCAAGAAGCTATGGGGCAGCTTTGTCAAGAAGACCTGGTACAGACTAAGCTTTAAACCTGAAGATCCAGATAGACACTTAAAGCATCTTAAAGCAGGATATGGCCTTGACAAAGGATCATGGAAGCATCCACTCCCCCCCCCCCCCCCCCCACACACCCCAAAAAACTAGGTCCCAACCCCCATAAGAAGCCCTGTCTGGGGCCCCTGCCTCCGCAGGATCCCCAGGTCTAGGGGCTGATCCGGGCCTTTCTCTTGGTATATGCCTTACTGTTGAGGGCTCAGAACCCCTCTAAGACTCTAAAACCCTCTCACAGGGCTACAGCCCTTCTGCGTGGTGCTTCACAGCCTTTCCGCAGTCTCGGGCCCTTCAGGCACCATTTTCCGTAGCACCCGCCTGATGGGGTACTTGCAACCGCACATCATATCCCCCTAAAACCCACAAACCCCACACCCGAAACCTTAAGTGTCAGAAGATGCAAAGGCACTAAAAGAAACTTCGAGTGCCTTGGGGGAATACTAGTGTTGAGGTCTTAAGGGGGAACATCGGGTTGCCCAACTCCCTTCTGCAAGGACTTTTTACTGAGGTTCTTGGCCCACCAGAATGCCCCTAACCCGTAGTGTTTAGGGCTGCATGGAGGGTTTGGAGTTTTAGGGTTGTCAAGTAGACCTTGTCATCAAGGTCCCTCCCCACCACAGGTCCTGTACTCAAGGACCCCAAGGGGATCTGAAAGCCACGCTGGCCCTACTTGGGCGACATGAGCTCGGGACCTTCGCTTGAACCTCTGCCCCCTTCACCCCTAAACCCTTACACCCCAAAGCTTGAACAGCCCTGAACCCTGAACCCAGACACTTCCGGATTTTGGGCTCATGGGCAGGAATCTTGTTTGTTTGTGTTTGTAGAATGTTGCCGTGCTGTTCCGTCGTCAAATTCAGCTGTTCAGCAGGCGACTCTCGCTACACTTTCCCGGTTCTCTAAGTTTGGGTCCTGGTTTTGGGTACCCTGAACATAAGGGAGCCACTGAAATACCAAAACTTTCCCCTCGCCTTTTTGTTGCCGAAAATCAATGGGGATTGGCGTCATTCTGCGTGTCGGTGCTGTGACTTCACATGTATGCGACGTGTCTTTTATTTGTCGTCGTAGAAATCGCCGGCGTGATGGGAGCCTGAAATCAATTGGCGGGCACCTGCACCCTAAAGTCCCAAATATTCAAGAATTTCAAGACCCAAGCCCTGCACAAACTTTCTTCTTTGGCGATGGCAGCCTATGAGCTTGCAAAGCATTTGATCTACAACTCAAGGTTCAGCTTAGTGAGAGGCCGGTGAAGGATCCGGGCCATGTGAGCCCTCTCACTCAGCGAGCTTTCTTGCAGAGAGTTTGCCGAGGATCGATTTTTGCCATAACTTTCTGGGCGAGCGCGGGGGAGCGGCATCCTGCCCACCTTCCCCTTCTCGCACGAACCCTGACCCCTTTCCCTGCAGTCCATGTTTGATCATCGAATGGCTCGGCCCCTTGAACCCTAAGCCCGCAGCCATAAGCCCCAAAACCCGAGCCAGTTTATGGAGTTCCTGTTCTTCACTCAAGAGTTGACATATGCAACAGAGAGCCTCTGCCGATCGCAGGTAAAGCTCAAAAACCAGAGCACATCGAAGCCTCAAACCTACATCCGCTTCTCCAACTTGGACAGGAGGCGATGAACCTTGCCAAGCCCCTTAACCCCGGCATGAGAAGCCCCACACCCCACATAGCAGCCTAGGAGCTTACGGTTCAGGGTGAAACTTTTAAGGCTTGCGCTCCACCACGTCCAGCAGCTGTCGACAAAATCGGGGCGCGGGTTCGGGTGAGCTTTGGAGTACGGGCCATGAGGGGAAGACACGGTCTTGGGGTTGCTTCGTTTTTTGGGTTACAAGAACTCCCCAAAACCCTACAACCCACCAAGCCCTGAATCACAAGCCCTAGAAGCCCGAAGCGAGGCCTGGACTGTGCAAGCCCTAAGCTGCACAGCGTGAGTAAGTGGATTTCGCACCTGAGTTTGTTCGGAACTGAGCCTCCAACCTTGATCTCTTTGAGGCCTTGTCGTGCGGCTCTGGGGAGTTTAGAGCCTAACCCAAAGAAGCCCCACGAGCTGAGAGTCAAGGTCTCCTCCCTGGACATCCACCTCCGCCCCGCCATTCAGCAGGCCAAGGGAGGGGAGGAGGAGTCTCAACATCCATTTTAAAATTTGGTAGGTCCTAAACGTCTTGGGCTTTACGGGTGAGGGCTCTTGGGTGGCACGCGTCGATTCAGGGAGTTGGGTCTTTGGGTTTAGCCTGCAGGCTCCCTGCACCATGTCTCACAAGGTTTCTCACCAAAAGCCTAAACTGAGCCCCAAACAACCCAGAGCCCTCAACCCCAAACAACAAGCCTTAAACCCCAAGCCCCAAACCCTAAACACCAAGCTTTAAACCCTGAGCCCCCAAGCTCTAAGTTTTAAGTCCTAAGTTCACTGGAATACAGGAGCCTCGGAGGTTTCGGACTTGGGCCTCTTAGGGCCTGGGCTTAAGATCCAAAACGGTACTGCGCACTCTCAAAGACTTTGACGTTTCTTGCCGGCCGTCAACTGCATTTCTTCTATGTCCCAAACCCTGCCACCTCTTGGCCATCATGCCAGGCCAGCCTGTCCCTGGGAAGCGGCGATGACGGCGCAGGTGCTTCCCACCGGGGTTTGTACGCGGAAACCCTAAACTCTAAACCCTTGAACGCCGCCTAAACCCCCTAAATCCGCCTGAGCCGCAAAACCTAAACTCGAAAACTTGGAGTTTCGTGGGCAGTGTTTAATCAGGGGTCCTAAGTAGGGTAGCTGGTCATCGCCTCATGGTCTTCTTTCCACTTAGAATTGCACCCTCAACCCTCAACCAGGGTAGTTACGCAGGACTACCTCATGAGCCTTCAAGAAAAGCTTCGTACTGTTTCGAGTAGGGTTTAGGGTTTTTAGGGTTTGAGGGTTTAGGGTTCTAGGATAGTCTGAAGGGCCCGAAACCTGGCAACTTGAGCATTGGATTTCTCTTACCCCTTATCAGCCCGTTTGTGCAATCTTCTTGCCAGGCCATCAACCAACCCTCAGCCCCGAACCATTAACCCCAAACCCGTAGCTCTACATCCGAAAGCCCGAAAATCTTGAAATCCCTAGTCCCGAAATCCGAAACCCCTGATCCCCTGATCCCTTCGCCCCGAAATCCGAAGAACCCCTGAGCCTCTGAACCCCTCAACCCCTCCACCCTCAATTCATGGTGAAAGTCGCAGCCGTCCCCTGGCCAGGTAACAGCTGAGAGCTGGGAGTGTCACTTCCGGGGATCCGGGGATGTCCCAAATGCCAAAAGCCTGCTGTTTATGGTTGGGTTTAGGGGTTGACGGTCTGGGGTTGAGGGTTTAAGGTTCAGGGGTCTGGTAAGTGTAATTTGTTCTGCACAAAAGGAACGGGAAAGACGCAGCTGGCTGTCAAGCCCTGATTGTAGATGGCCTATCTACCCTCTCAAGCAGAATCTCACAAGCCTTGCTACAGTTTGGCCTTTTTGGGAAACCTCTGTGGAACTGCAGGGCCGTCAGGGCCAGGAGCTGGCTTGATGAGAGCCTCGGATCTTCGAGGTTTCATGTTCAAGGTGCCCTACACGCCACTAAGCAGGTCAGAGGGCTGAATAGATGCCCAATTTGTGACTAGTAGCTGCCTCCCCTCGAACGCCTTGAAGAAACCTTTGGAACTTTGGAGGCCCTGTACATGTAGAACGCCTTGGTACGAGTTTTGAAACTCCTGAATTCGGTTGCTTTCCGCCGTAACCTCACACCGCTCCTAGATCCTCACTCAGCCTTTTGTGGGTTGAATGGGTTTCTAAATCGGGTGTTGCAAGGAGCTCGAGTCGACCTTCTACCCCAGACCCAACCCTAACGGCCCGAAACGCCTGAATCCTAGCCCTGCGGGCCTGCGCAGTTCTCGTGCCCACTCGAGGCTTTGTCTCAGCTTGTTTCACCGACCGGCGGAAGTCCCAACGCCGCAAAGTCGCCACTTTCCCGAAGCTCCAAGAAGAATTCCCAAATCGCCCCCGAAGCCCTAGCCTGTGGCAGCAGCAACTCTGCAGCCGCGTGGAGTAGTACCTCCGGGTCTCATGCGGAGCAACAAGCGGGTCGCAGGGTCTTTGTTCAGCGAGGAAACGTCGAGGCCTTTGTGAGGATCCCAATTGTGCTTTCGAGCTTGTCTCGGTGGTTGCGCCTGACGAGTTGCGTTCTTGCTGCCATGACGAAGTCGAGTGTACAACCCCACCTCACCCCTACCTACACCTATGCCTACACACACAACACAACTTTGAATCCCTTTCCCCAGTCTTATATATATATATGCTCACCCCCCCCCAATGGACCCACCGCGGATGGCAGCCGAGTCCTAGCCAGATCAAGGCAAATAACAACAAAACAAGAAACTAACAAAAACCAACAAACCAAAAAAATCCAAAAAACCAAAAAAACCAAAAAAACCAAAAAAACCAAAAAAACCATCTTTTCCAAAACTATGGGGCTGGGGCCTCCAAAAGATGGTTTTTTTGGTTTTCTCGAGAAAAAGATGGTTTTTTTGGTTCGAAACCATCTTTTTCTCGAGAAAAAGATGGTTTTTGAGCAGCCGCTCTTCTAAAAACCATCTTTTTCTCGAGAAAAAGATGGTTTTACCAGGACAAGACCTCCAAAAACCATCTTTTTCTCGAGAAAAAGATGGTTTTACCAGGACAAGACCTCCGGAAACCATCATCTCCAAAAACCATCTTTTTCTCGAGAAAAAGATGGTTTTTCGAAGAGCGGCTGCTCAAAAACCATCTTTTTCTCGAGAAAAAGATGGTTTCGAACCAAAAAAACCATCTTTTTCTCGAGAAAACCAAAAAAAACCATCTTTTGGAGGCCCCAGCCCCATAGTTTTGGAAAAGATGGTTTTTTTGGTTTTTTTGGTTTTTTTGGTTTTTTTGGTTTTCTCGAGAAAAAGATGGTTTTTTGGTTCGAAACCATCTTTTTCTCGAGAAAAAGATTGTTTTGAGCAACCATCCTTCGAAAAACCATCTTTTTCTCGAGAAAAAGATGGTTTTACCAGGAGAAGACCTCCAAAAACCATCTTTTTCTCGAGAAAAAGATGGTTTTACCAGGACAAGACCTCCGGAAACCATCTTTGTCTCGAGAAAAAGATGGTTTTTCCAGGGTAAGATCTCTAAAAACCATCTTTTTCTCGAGAAAAAGATGGTTTTTCGAAGAGCGGCTGCTCAAAAACCATCTTTTTCTCGAGAAAAAGATGGTTTCGAACCAAAAAAACCATCTTTTTCTCGAGAAAACCAAAAAAACCATCTTTTGGAGGCCCCAGCCCCATAGTTTTGAAAAAAATGGTTTTTTTTTGGTTTTTTTGGTTTTTTTGGTTTTTTTGGTTTTTTTTGGTTTTTTTGGTTTTTTTGGTTTTTTTGGTTTTCTCGAGAAAAAGATGGTTAAGTTTTAGGGGTTTAAGCCTCATGCACTACAGGGTTATAAGGTTCTAATCCTATAGGTATTGCCTTAACCTTTAACCCTAAACCTTTAACTTTAAACCCTGCAGGGTTAACCCTGTGAGAAATTTAGAGATAGACCCCGAAAAGACCCTAAACCTTCTTACAGGGTGTAATGGTTTAAAAACCGATAGGACATGTATACCTTCAGCGCCTGTAGGGTTCAAGCCTTTGAACGTGCTAGACCCCTATAGGGTGCTAAGGTTCTGACCCTAAAGGGTTTAGGATTAAGGCTTAAATGCCCTCTAGGTTTAAATGCCTAAGTCTTAAACCCCAAACCTTTAAACCTTCATCCTATGGGGTTTGAAGGTCAAGGGTTTAGGCTTGATTGCCGAGGGCTTTAGGGTCCTGACCCTAGAGGGTTTAGGGTTAAGGAATAGATGCGTAAACCTTAAACCCTTAAGGTTTAAACTCTATGGGCTTAGGGGGCTTAGGTTTTTTTAAACCCTAAGCCTTTAAACCTTCACACTACAGAGTTTAGAGGTGTTAAGGGTGACAAATTGATTACATACTTAGCTTTAAATGCCTGGATCTTAAACCCCAAACCTTTAAACCTTAACCCTATAGGGTTTAAAGGTTAAGGGCTTAGTGTTAATCGCTGTCTTAGGTTTAAATGTCTGAATCTTAAACCCTAAAACTTTAAACCTTCACCCTATAGGGTTTAAAGGTTAAGGGTTTAGGTTGAATCGTCAGCTTGGATTTAAATGTCTAAGTAAAGAATCCTAAACCTTTAAATCTCATCCCTATGGGGTTTAAGGTTAAGGGTTCAATATGAACTGCCGGCATAGGTCTAAATACCTAAACCTTAAACTTAAACCCTAAACCTTTAAATATCTTAACCCTATAGGGTTTAAAGGTTAGAGGCTTAGCGTAAATTGCCGGAATAGGTTTAAATGCCTAAATCTTAAGCCCGAAACCTTTAAACCTTAGCCCAACAGGGTTTAAAGGTTAAGGGTTTAAAATTAGTTGCAGGCTTAATTAGGTTTAAATGCCTACATCTTATATCCTAAACCCTTAAAAATCTTAACACTATAGGGTTGAAAGGTTAAGGGCTTGGCTACAGGTTTAAATGGCTAAATATTAAACCCTAAGCCTCTAAACTTTAACCCTACAGGGTTTAAAGGTTAAGGGTTTAAACTTAGTTGCAGGCTTAGGTTTAAATGCCTACATCTTAAACCCTAAACCTGTAAAAATCTCAACCCGATAGAATTTAAAGGTTAAGGGCTTAGCTTTAATTACCGGCATAGGTTCAAATGCCTAAATCTTAAACCCTTAACCTTTAAACCTTAACCCTACAGGGTTTAAAGGTTAAGGATTTTTTTTGCAGGCTTAGGTTTAAATCCCTAGATCTTAAATTATAAACAAAAGCCAACAGAAAGAAAAACCCTCCGTGCGTGTGTGAGAGGGTGAATTAAGGAATACAGTCAAAAATCCGGTCACCGGAAAATCACCAGACAGCATAGGTTTTATCGGTATTTGCGGTACTTTTGCAAAGATCAAGGCCCGCGGTGGGTCCATTGGGGGGGGGTGACCATATATATATATTTTTTTCTACATATTACATATATGTATATATAGATAGTAGTAGAAACATACGTTTGTACATACTTGCTATGGATCATACACGCGTTTATATGTCAGCAGTTGGGTCTAGGGTCAAGAAAAGGAGGTGTAGTCATAGCCCAAGATTGGAGTTACCAGACGCAACCTCGGGCTTGATTGGGCAGCTAAGGCCCAAAGACCCTAAAACCGAGTCCATGAGCCCTCATTCTCCCTCACCAAGCTGGGTTTCCGACTGAAACCTTTCCGCCTCTGTTCGCGGGCCTGCTTCCGAAGGCAGCTCGGGGGGGGAAAAGTAGGAACGTCAAGTCCGGGCTCCATCGCCAATTGCTGCAGGCGGGCTGCGACGCACACTAGGATCGACTCCGTCGGGTTGTTGTCGGTCGGACTGGGTTGAAGGCTTGGGGTTTGGGGTTTGGGATACCACCCGAACCCTGAACCCCTAACCCCCAAACCCGAAACAATCCTAAACACCTTTAAGCCCTAAGTCAGACATGCCTGGAGATTTGTGTGGGTCTTCGCCTCCTGGCACTCCGTGAAACCCCAAACCCTGAGCCCCAACCCTAGGCAGGGAACCCTGAGCCTGACATCCTGCATGAGAAACCTTAGAGCTCTTATTATTGCGATGGGCTCGACCCACCACTTAGGATGCAGGGTTTCGGATGTTTAGGGTTTAGGGTTTAGGGTTTAGGGTTTAGGGTTTAGGATTCATCAAGAGCCCCAGAATAGCATCCGAAAGAGCCGAGAGTCGTCTTGCTTCGGGGTTTGCCAAGTGCAGCCTATCAACTGTCAAGCCACAATCTGCTTTAAGCACTGGGTATGTTTACCCTTTTCAGCGGGTATATGGGCTGTGCAGTAGTTTGGGACTGAGAGTTTGCCTTTTTCCCCGAGTGCCGGCGCAGGCATGGCCAACAACCAGGACGAGCAGAAGGACAAAGAGGACTGAGATCAGAAACTTCAGAAACCCAGGCCTCCAAATAAGCAAAAACATGTGGACCAGTGCCCCTTTGCGCCCTTCTGGGATTCTCTTGTGGGGCTCCCCTTGCGATCCAAGCACTGCCCAGAACCGCGGACGCCCGAAAGAAATTCCCTAAGCAGGCTTAGGGCTTAGGGCTTAGGGCTTAGGGCTTAGGGTTTAGGGCTAAGGGCTCAGGGCTTGAAAGCCTAAGCCCAGAGAAAGAGCAAACGATGCCCCGTGGAAAACCACTTGCAGCCAGTTAGTTTCTACATTCAGGGTTGAGGCACCCGACCATGAAAGCCCCCCAAGCTTCAGCTTGGGCTGAGGGGTTTCTGCGCTCGAGGTGGTGTACTGTTCAGGTTTTAGGCTTTGACTTGCTTGCGGATTCATAGGCAGTTATAACTGTTTCTTAATCAAGTAGCTGAAGCGAAAGTTATAGCCCCAGGGAGGGCTGAGCCCTAGATCCTAAACTCCACTGGGCACACTGGGGTGGGTGCCGGTAACATTTCTGCCATTGATTGTGAGACTGGGGAAACAAGTACCGGAACCATTAGAGTCTGACGGCAGGCTCCCATCCCAGGCACTTCGAGGTCCTGCCCAGCAATAGGGTTTAGGGTTTTAGGGTTTAGGGTCCTTCAGCATCATGATTCGAAGCACTCTACGACCAGGGGCGCTCCTGATGCTGCCAGATTGAAAGAACCGCCCGTCCATGCAGGAGTACAAGACGCTGTGGGGAGTTCCTGGCTCAGATAGTCGCAGGCAGAGCGGTCGAATTTCGGATTTGATGTTAATCCACATCATGATCGCTTCTCTCTACGGCTCATTGTTGTTCCGGTCCAGGACTAGCTGTGCTTGGGAGTTGAGGATGCCTAAAGCCTTTCCGCCTGTCAAGTCCCAAGTCCTCAGAACCCTAGACCCTAGACCCTAGACCCTAAACCCTAAACCCCAAACCTAAACCCCAATCCTGTTCATCCTTCTCCCAGAAACCTGAATCAAGGCCCGGATCCTTTGGCCTCCTGACATGCCAGACGACATGCTCGAGGATGCTGCCCGACACTTAGGGTGGCATGAACTTGGGGTGCTTCAGGGCTTTGTAGGGGATTTCGTTTCTTTCTCTCTCTCGCTCTCTCTCGCTGTCTCTCTTTCTTTGGGTTTTTTGCTGTGTGTGTGTGCGCGTGTGTGAGTGGAGAGCGCGTTCCTATATTCTATTAGCTTAACAGTTTCTACGTTTAAAGAGGAAAGCCTAAACCCTGAACCCAAAGTCCCCAAATGCCCAACTCCCCAAATCCCTAAGATTTTGATGAACCATTTTCTTCATGAACCATGATGAACCCATGAGCTGGCGCTCAGTTGGTTCCCTTGCCGAAGCCTCTAAGCTTCAGTGGTTGCGTGGGGCTTACTTAGGGAGTTTCGAGGGCTTGGGGGGTTTTACGGGGGCTCAGGGGGTTTGAGGGGGTTTGCTTTGACTAGGGAATACGAGGTGTAGGGGGAATACGACGTGTAGGGTTTAGGGTTTAGCGTTGCTGTGGCTTCCAGAACTGGAATCTGATTTTGCTTGGGGGCTTATGGGTAGTTTAACTAAGGTTATACGTAGATTGGGCTGGGTATCGTTTTGTTTTGGGTGCTTGAAACCCTGCTTGCACACCCAAAACCCCACACCTCGAACGGCTTGAGGTGAAAATCTCCCAGTCGGCTCTCGAAGAGTTCGGAAGACAAGAGCGGGAAGGCTGCGCAGTGTCAGGGTTTGAAGGCTTGGGATTTCGGGTTTAGGGCATGGAATGGAAGATGGAGGGAGCACAGTAGGAGTTTTGCAGATTTGGGTATTCCAGGTATTCGGACAGGGAGTTCCAGAACATCCAGGGTTGCTTCAGGTCATGAAGAGAGGTATTTCATCGGGTTCTGGACCCAAAGCCCCGACCCCTAAACCCTAAACCCCAAACACCAACCGCCAAACTCAAACCGGCAACCCTAAACTTGCCTAAACCGAGCAAGTTTCGGACCGAGGGTATAAATTGCCGCCCTGGAGGGACAAAAATTGCCCAGAAGATCAAGCAGCACCTGGATGAGAATCACAAGCCGCACCCTGGAAGCACCTCAGAGTTCGGCCAGGCGTTGGGGTTTCGGGTCTCAGAAGTCTACGGCCTACTGTCTTCAGGGTGTAGTGCAGAAGCCTCAATCCTAAGCTCTAGAGCTTGAATGTCACTCAGACCCCCCTGAATCCCCATCTCCGAGTGTAAAGTGGTAAAGTTCGGGGTTTCGGGTTTTAGGGCCTGGGGTTTCATTGGGTAACCTAGCTCCCCGCCTTAAGGGCCTTGCAAATCAAGGTTTCGTTTCATTCGGCGTCCCCAAATAGTCGGGGCGCCCTGTTGTGATGACCCTAAACCATAACCCAACCCTACACCTTCAACCCTATACTTCCTGAACTCTAAGACGCCCCGAAGCATACACTCGACACATCCCAAATCATGAGCTCAGGGCTTTGGGTTTAGCAAACCTCATGCTCGCAACCCCCTCGAAGCCCAGCCTGGGTGTAGGGTTTTAGGGTTTGAAGTATTTAGCACGTGAATACCTTCCCTGGGTCAGGTACTGGCATGTCACCATCGGAAAGAACTTTGGCTGCCATGCTGTGCATGAGAAGCAGCGCTTTGTGCGTGCCCGAGACGTCTGGCATTGAGGGCTCCAGGGCGGATGGAAGGGTTCAGGCTCTGGGGGAGCTAGAACATAAGCTGACTGGTGCTCAAGGGGTCTGGTTTAGGGTTCATGGGAATTAAGAGGTTGGGGGAGGGGTGCAGGTACTACTACTACTACTGCTACTACTACTGCTACTACTAGCAGTACAATACCTGGGTAAAGATGGGGCTTATTTAAGCATGATTTCGGGGATCTCCAGGACTAGCAAGTTATGCCCCGAATCCGACCTTGGGCCAAGAACTGCGGGGCGTCTAGGGTTGAAGGTATATTTTGGCGGACTCTTACAGACAGCTTGAAGAATTGGATGCCTTTGGTACCCTTAAGGACATATTTTTTCCGACTCGTACTTAGAAGGAGACAGATAGTAAGGATTCCGGTTGCCTCCCCCCAGCCCGCAAAATCAGGACCCTGTGAGAGTCAGATGGTTCTCATAGGGCCCGTGGTTTGAGGTTTGGGCCACACCCCAAGCCTCAAGCCCCAAACCCCGATTTTCCAAACCCTAAACCCCAAACCCCAACCCCAAACCCCAAACCCAAAAGCTGATTGACAACATCTCTGTTTCACATTCTTGTGGGCAAAGGCCCATTCTTCGAGAACAGACGCAAGTCTGACTGAACCCCACACCCCAAACCCCAACCAAGTAGTCCTTATGTGCAGAGCCCGCGTCCTGAAGCCGTTGCCATGACGATCAAGGGGGGGCAAACTGCGCACAGGAACAACAGCTAACCCTCTCAAGCCTGAGCCCTAGCTTTCCCGAGGCCGAAAACCCTACACCTCAAAGCCTTAACTGGACCGCCAAAACTCACAGGCTAGACCCTGAAGGCCTAGTTAGCCTAGTTCAGGGGGCAAGGTGTTTAGAAGGGAGCCTGTACAAAAGCCCGGCGCCCCCAAACCCTCGAAGCCCTCCCCTAACCCTAAACCCCTAGCCCCAACCCCAAAACCACCGTCCCCAAGAACCCTAAAACCCAATAAGGGGGATCCGCCCTCTTCAGACCAACGCCATGGCTTTCCGGCTCCTCAGCGGCGAAGCGGTGTCCTGCGAGAGCCGGCTTGGGACGCGCTGGCTGCTCTAAGGGGGGGTTGTGTTTCGGGGTTTGGGGTTTGGGGTTTGGGGGTTTGGGGTTTGGGGCCTCTTCAGGGTGTAGGGTTCGGGCGCGCCCAGCTTCGGTTGTTTCGGGGTTCAGGGGTTTGGGATATGGTTTTGATTGACCCTTCTTGACAAGTGAGCCTGCTGAGCTTTAGGGTTATTCTTGGGGCTAACGCTCTAGAGTTTCGCAATGTAGGGTTCTCGTTGAGGGTTCAGGGTTTAGAGGCGCCAGGCTAGCCTTGCCAAGCCAAAAGGCCCAAAGTAACTTCCAAACCCTGAGCTGCCCAAACCCACCCCCAACCCCAAAAGCTCCACGGCCCTGGAAAACTCAAGCGCCCGAAGAGCGACACCCCGAATTCCTGATTGGAGGAACCTACTTCCAAAATGCATACCAGGAACTCTAAACGCCAAACCTTCACTAACCTTAAACCTTTAACGTCCTAACCCTAGACCTTTTCATCCCTGAATCTTCAACAACAAGGCCTTTGGGTGCCTCGGTTCCCGTGGCCGAAGCCCGCGCCGCAGTGGCGGAGCACCTGGACGTGGAGAGGGAGAGGGCGGCTCGGACGAGCGAGCAGCACTTGAAGCCATTTTGAAGCCCCAAGCCCGGAGGGTTTTCGGATTTGGGTTTTCCGGGGTTTCCTTGCGTTTTGAGGTGTTTCAAGCCTGGGGGCACGCCAGAAGGTTCTTTTTGTTTCAAGGAGCTGCACAACCTGGAAACCATCCTTATACACCTTCACTAAACCCGATGGCTACGCCTTGACCCCTCTGCAAGCTAGAGGCAGGGCCCACAGAAGGGAAGCCAGCATAGACGGTGGTTTGTAAGAGCGTCCCGCATCGCAGAGAGGTGCGCCTGATCTGTCCGACGCATGCCGAGCTGGAGGAGCCCTTTTCTGCAGTCTCGAAAAACCCTAGATCCGGAACCACAAAAAGCCCAGACCCCTTAGTTGGGTGGGCCGTTTCTTATGCCCGACTACCTTGCTGGTGACCGCGTGCTTGGCCCTGTCCTCATGGGTTGCTGTTGTGAGACTGAGTGCGGGGGTGAGTTTGGCTTTGAGTTTGGCTTTGCATAAGTCCATACAGTAAATTGTACGGTTCCTTCCTGCCGTGGGCACTTAGCGAAAAGCTACCCCGTCTCTTCCTCTGACTCCTCTTTTGTTTAGGCAACCAAACATAGGGCCAGGTCACCGGATCTATCATAGACTTCCCTGTGCCATTCCCAAGCAGTCCTTCAGCCTGAATCATGACATGACGGGCTGCAACCAGGTGGGTCACTAATTTCACAGAGCGCTCTGACTCTGGTTTCACTTTCGACGCGCCAGACTTATGTTCGCTTCACCGGAAGCAGAAGGCCCCGAAGAGGGCTTGATGGCTAGGGTGTAGAGCTAGGGTTCGGGTTTAGGGCATAGGGTCTGGTGCGACATTCAGTTGAATCCGAAGTGTTGGTTTGGGTGGGCATGCTGCTGGCTGGAGTGAGGTTGCTGAGCACGAGATCCTTCAGCCACCATTTAGCTTTGAGGATGGAATTGTTCCTGCTAAAACCCAGGCCTCCAAGTTCTGGTCCCTTGCTGGGTATCCTCAATGTGAGGGGTCCAGGGTTGAGGGTTGAGGGTTGAGGGTTTAGAGTAAACCCTCTACTTCAAAGCCTTAGAGACCAGCCAAACGGAGGATGGCGCAACTCTGCTGCTGGCTGACAGCTGCGCCTCGGTCTCGATCTGATGCATTTGGTGGGTGGTTCTACATATTTTCTGTACATGTATATATATATATATATACAGAGGCATATATATTTATATATATATATATATACATATATATATATATATGAATATCTATAGCTTGAATGTGTAGTAAGTTTTTGCCTTGCTGAGAACTATGCTTTGGGGAATCGAGTCTAAGGGTTCGGGAGCTCAGGGAGGTCTTGACTCGTGGGTTTCTTGGGAGAGTTGGAACAGCCTCGATTTCAGGGTCCAGGTCGGGCTCCCGACCTCCTGATGTTTCCTGGAAAAAGGCGGGTTTACTTGCCAGAGTTGGATTTTGAACTCCAAGACGCTGAAGCCCTGAGCCCACAGAAGCCCAAGAGCCCTCGTATCTTCAATCGACTAAGGCGCGACGGTGCAGATCTTGCCAGACCCACTGGAGGTGGAGCTGGCAAAGGCGCTGGACCTGGAGCACTTTGCGGATGCACTGCAGGTGGCTTTGGGGGTTGGGGTTCAGGGTTTATAATGGTTTAGGGAACCCCAAGCCCTTGTCAAGCCCTAAGCCCTAGAGCCCAGAAAAGGCTTCGAGTTCAAGAGAGGCCCAAGCCGCTGCACGAAGCTGCATGGGTCCAAGACGTCCCCCCCTCCCACCCCTTCTCCAGTCAAGCACCGACATCCCGAAATCCTTATGTCCCTAAACCCTAAACCCGAAGAACAACAGGCTGCATTGATCATCAGGGGTATGAGGGGAGCATTCTGGGGTATCAGGAGAGAATAGGGAAAAATAAGGGGATAATCGAGGCATCCCAGACCCCAAAGCCCCAAAACCCCTCAGTAGGGTTTGGGGTTTAGGGTTTAGGGTTTGGGTTTCGGGTTTTCGGGTTGAGGGGGTTGAAGGTTTCTTGGCGTCAGGGTTCAAAAGGTTGGGGCTCACGGCGCCTAGGCTTTGGGGTTGCAGCGTGTGCTCTGTGAGCTTTAGATGTTCCTTCTTGGGTTACCATCCTAGGTAGGAGTAACTAGGACCCCAAACGGAACCACAATTGAGAGACCAAAGCAGATGGCTCTTGCAAGGACTTCGCAAACCGCTAAGCCTCGAATCGCCAACCCTTAACTTTTGAAACTTCAGCCCGGAAGCCCCAAATCCCCCAAACCCTACATCCCTAAGCCGTCCTGCGAGATGGACCTACTGCAGATTCGCGGCACGGTGCTGCCGCTTGCCTCTATCTCCTTGCATCTCGCAGCCTTCTGGGTTGCCTACTCGTTCTTTACAGCAGATCCGGGACTAAGATGCCTTGTGTCCCCTTGAAAGCCCGGTTGTACAGGGAACTCTCTAGAAAGGGAAGTAAATCAAGTAGATACAATATGTTTATTCCCTTTGAGGGGCTACCGAGCTAGTTTCATTCCGCTTGGGTTCAGTGCAAGAGCGTAAGCCCTGCAGACCCCTAACTCAAAGCAACTCGGGTGTTCCACAGCGAAGGTCCCCCCTTCAGCTCAAGAAGGTTGGTCGGGATCTGAATTTGATTTATCTGCGTCCCTGCAAAACCTCGAACCCTGCAGCCCTGCGTCCCCAAAACCTGGTATTGGAGTGCTGGGACTCAGGACAGGTCTTCCGAAAGGCATCGGTAAGCTCCTGAAGCTCAAGCAAGTGCATCTGCCACCTGCCTGCACCCGCATGCTCAGCATGAGTTGGGTGTAGGGGTTGGGGGTTTAGGCGGTTTGTGGTTTAGGGGACTAGGGTTAGGTTCGCTTCGGAACCCCTTCCACGCCCGCCGAAGCGAACGAGTGAACTTTCCCATTCAAAGGTGAACGGGGAACCGAGCTGTACGGATTTAAGCTTTCGGTTTTTAGGGTGGCCCTAAAGCCGCAGCACCAAACCCAAAACCCAACACCCAAAGCCCAAGACTCAGACACCCGCTTGGATGACAAGTGGGTTGTGTTTTAGATCAGGGTTTCTTTGTTGAAAGGCTTCTTGTGTATGCATCACAAAGAAGGATGTGTTAGGCTCCCGAGGTTTCAATGGCAGTTGGGCGCATCGTTGTCGGTACGGGGTTTTTAGATGTTTTTAGATATCCTTCCGCTCCGGGTAGATCTGGCCAGTCCTCAACAGAGTATCAAGGGTTTTGGGTTGAGGTTTTTGACTTCGCGTCTATAAATCAAATGCACTTTGGCACTTTGGCCGCCCACAGCCTTTAGAGCTTCGCACGCAACTTGTAGACCAACACTCGAAACTCCAAGCCCGAAGCAACCTGAAGCCCTAGATTCTGCTCCCCGAACCCAAAAGGCCCCCCTAGAACCCTAAACCCTGAATCACCCGAAGCCAGGAGCGCCAACAAGCTGCAAGGGCTGCCGTCGAACATCGGGGCCCTGGCGGCTCAGCGGAGTTTCCCCTAAACTCCCTGAAACCCAAGCCCGAACTAAACCCCAAAACCCTCACCCCCAACCTCAAACCAAGCTAGGACCCGCAAACCCCCCCTCAGCCCGAAGCCCTACATGGGGTTCAGGGCCTTAAGGCTCTTGGTGCAGTAACTTAGGCTATTCAGGTTGATGTTCCTGGCGAAGATTTAGGAAAAGAGGCGTTTCGCTTATTAGGGTTTCAAGCCCTACCTCTAGACCTCACGGTTCTGCAGAGAGGAGGAAAGGAGCCAGTTCTCGAAGCCACCTGCCCGGTCCTTGTTCAGTATAAGGGGCTGTATGATGCAGCCTCAAAGGGTGCAAAAGTACCCGCAACCTCAAACCGTAACGATGGCTTGGACCATCCGTGCTATGTGATGCGGAGTTGGCAGGGTTCCGCGGGGTTGGTGGTTTGTTTCGCGGGGTCGCAGGGTTTCGCGGGGCTGGCGGGGTTCGCGGCTTAGGTATCCTTGGAAGACCTGCGCGTGGACTGCAACCTGCCCCCCGGAGATGCTTTAGATGATTGAGGGTTTCAAGGATTTAGGGTTGAGGGTTGGGGTTTCGGGTAATCAGGGCTCAGGGCTGAAGGGTCGGGGTTTAGGGTTGAGGGTTCATGCTTTGGGGTTGAGGCTTTTGAGGATTGTGGCAAAAAGGGTATCGGTTTTTGCTCATAGTTTGGGGTATGGTCCATCATGGCGATCACTGCCATAACATGGGATTTCTCCTGCCCGTGGATTCGAGTCGAGGTGTCAATCTCAAGGGGACGTTTACTTCCGTTATTGATGCCTCTAGGATGAATAAGACTGGGGGAGGTGTACGGCTTCGTCCCGCAGTCGGCTTTGGTTGACCCCGTTCCCCAAACGGATTGGCGCGTGCTGCATCCTTGCACACATGCTGCTGGCCTCCCTTGTTTGGGCATGCTTTGCTTACTGGTTCAAAGTATGGCTTTTGGGGAACTAGTTTTATCACGGCTTTGGGGTATCTAGTTCCCCGCGGCCCGTGGCTTTGAACTGATCGTGAAAGGGCGAAGTCTCTGATGGCAAACAAACTCAGAGATTAAGCTTTGCTGCTTCAGCCATGACGCGCTGAAGCAGGGCCACAGCCACCCCTCTCTCTCTCACTCTCTTCCCCCTCCTCTCTTCCTCTCCCTCCCTCTCTCCCTCTCTCGCCGTAGGCTGCCCGCAAATTTTCCTGTTAGGCTGTCATCACTTCCGGACAGCATCGGCAGCTTGGACTTCTGTGGGCCTAGCTGTGGAGGGGCTTAGGGCTTAGGGTCCCTAATTCAGGGCGGTTTAGGGTTTGGGGGTTCGTAGGGTGGGGGCGTTATAGGGTTTTGCAAGTTGAGGGTGCATGGCTTGGAAGGTGTTTATTGCTTAGGGTTGTGCGATCTCCCGAACATGGATGACCAATGCAGCAAAGCATAAGGGAACTCAAGAAAGACCTGACAAATCTCGTAAACATTGTGCATGAATATGTTCCCATCTTGTAAAATTATGTACAACTGTATTTCTGGGTTCGCTTTTGTTGGGGTTGCCGTGGACCAAGCCAAGCTAAACAAAAGGCCAACACACCCCATGATCATTTTAGGAGTTACAGGCCTCGGGTCCAATGTTAAACGGCCCCCCCCCCCCAAAAAAAAAAAAAAAAACAAAAGAAAAAGGAAAACAAAACAAAACAAAAAACAACAACAGATCCTAAACCCCTGAAGCCCTCAACCCTGCATCCCTGAAGCCCTGAACCCTTGAGCCCTCAAAAGCCTCAAAGCTCTCTGCAGATCTTCCCAGGTTCCCTCCATGGCCTGGTGGAGCTCCACCTCGGCTCCAACATGCTCAGCGACCTCGCCGGATGCAGGGCTCGGGGCTTGAGGCATAAGGTTTGGGATTTAGGGTTGGAAGGCGCAGGGTTAGTTAGGGGTTTAGGGTTTGGGGTTTAGGGTTTCCGGTTTCCTACTGGGGATTTCGGTTGGGATTTAGCAAGTTTAGCTTGAAGCTTCGTTTAAGATGATGAAGTTCTGCGCGACCTTTATTCTCAACCCTAGCACCACCCTGAACATGTTTCCTGTTTTTGGGTGGGGGGGGGGCGGGTTGCCGTCCTTTCTGGGGGCCTACCTCTAAGGACTCCAAATTCGAACCGGTATGGAGCCGACTTGGCCTCCCCACAAAAGAAGCATTGGGGAACCATCGCAGGTTCTCATTAAGCCGTGTTAGGCTTGCTTGGCCCTTTGAGCGGTTTGCGGGTAGGGCCTAAGAACGCTGAACGCTCTTTCCCTTAAGCAACGTTAGAGTTTGGTGTTCAGGGCTCAATCTTTACTCGCCCTGTGACGTTTCCTCCAAGGCGAGTTGCCATCCCGCCTGGGCTGCCTCACGCAGTTGCAGACGCGCCTGGGCGTGGGCGGAATGGGTATCTACTTGAAGGTTCATGGGCTGCCACTTGCAACTGGGGTGTGGGGTTTGAGGTTCATGTGCAATTACTGGGGCTTCCAGGAAACTTCAAGTGCAGGGGGTACCAGGGCATGGCCTAGGTCCAGGGTTCAGAGTTCGCCTCGAAGCCCTAAACCCCCAAAAAATCTTCCAGGAAAGCTCCGAAGCCCGTGAGACCTTACCTTTCAACAACCCCGAGCCCTAAGCCCTCCCTGAACCCTGTGAATCTTCAAAGCCTCAAGCCTAAACCCACACGGTTGAGGCTGAACTTGTTGAACAACCAGCTCACTGAGCTGCCGGACACCTGGGGTGTTTTGGGGTTTAGGAGTTTGTGGGATTCTGGGTTCTAGGGGTTCCGAGGTTAGGGGTTCAGGGTTTAGGGATTTCATGGCTTATGGTTTCGGGGCTCCTGGGACGAGTTGCATGGGCGGTTTCATGTCTGAAGTTTCGCTCATAAGAGGCTGAAGCCTACGCTCAATAACATGCCAACTCCCCAGCACCCGAAACCCTCAGCCCAAACCCAAGCCGCCCTTAATCGGCTTTCGGCGGCTTCGGCCTTCTTTTCTCGGGGGGAGTAGAATCGGCCGTGGTTGTGGGTTCGGGGTTTAGGGTTGAACAGGGCTTCAGAACTCCACACTTAAACCCCAAGCCCTAAGCTAGTGAACTCTAATTAAGCCCTAGACGCCGCAACCCTAAAACCGCCTCAAACGGGAATGGCAACACATCCCCAGAGCGCAAACCTGAATTTCCCTTTGAAACCCAGCAACGAGCGCATCGTTTTGAGTCTTCGGTAACCGGGGACCTAGGACACTGTCTGCGTGAGGACACCATTGGCGAGCTGCGATCTCTGCGTAGGCTGCACCTAGGCCACTTGGGATGAAGACCCCCTCTAGGGTTTGGAGTCTGGGTTCCTTTTTTTTTTCTCCCACCTTTCTGAGGAGAGTGTCCCGCAGTATCGGAAATAGCCACAGAACCCCCTGAGCCTTAAACCCGCCTAAAGTCCTAAACCCTGAGAACCCCAAAGCGCCCAGGCCGAATATGAACCCGAGGCTTCCCGCGACACAGTCCTGAACCCCTTACAGGTTCGAGGCTTCTCAAAGAAACGGGTCCCTAGACCCCTATTCCCAGAACCTCCAATCCTTAAGCCCGTTGAGGGTGCTCTGGGGAGGGCGGGCTCAGGGGACCTGAATTTTTTTTTCGGGGTATTTTCGCAGCTCGGCATTCTTGACTTGCATGGGACTCACCTGTTCGAATCCGCATGGGTTGTGTGTTCATTGCGGGGTACTGAAGGCAGGGGTGAGGTATTATTATGGTAGGGGCTAGGACTAGGGGTTAGTGTCCTTTTCCAAAAGTTTTCATCACCAAAAGCGCACGGACAAAGAGACGTTTTGTTTGAGCAACCTCCACATATCCGTGCAAACGTTTTGGGGCTTAGGTTTGGGGCTGAGAGGTTTAGGATTGAGGTTTAATGCTTTTAAGGGGTTGAGTGCTTCTATAAGGGTCTAGTTAGGAAGGGGGTTTGGCTTGCGGGTGCAGGGCTTGGGGTTCACGTTTCACTTCCATGTCTTTCTGGCTTGGCAAGCCGGCTGCGCACATGAGAAAGCAGTCAGAACACGAAGCTGATGAATCGGCTTTGGGGCCCTGAGCCCTAATCCCTAAACCCTGCATCCGATAGACCCCTACCACTAGATCTGTTTTTGGTTTTGGTACACTACATCTGGGACCCCTAGTCGAGAACAAGACTGAACCCCACACCCAAAACGCATGCGCCAGGGGGCAACCGATTGCGCATGCTACCACGCAGCTTGGGCCAGCTGGCGAAACTCCAGGACGCGAGCTGAGGGTTTGTGCGGTTTGTGTGTTTGTGTTCTTGTTTTTTTACAGGGTGCTTTGGGCGTGCGAGGTTGAAGACGCGGTGTGGGGCATGGGTAAGTGGTTGGGGGTCGGCATCGTTGTGCTGATTGCGTACCGGTTAGGGTGAACATTAGGGTTGAGCCAAAAGTGTGGGGTTTCAGTAAGGTAACTGTTTGAGGTACGTACACCATCCTACTGATACCCAAGACGTCTTTAGGATTGGGAGCTTCCGCACTAACGCAGTGAGCCCTATGGTGAAGAGCTTTGAACCTCCGCCTGATCTCCAAACCTCCAAGCGTTAAACGCTAGGCCCTGTACTACAAGCGGTCGCTTCTCTGAGCTCTAGCGCCTAAACCCTAAACCCTAGACCCTGAATGCCCAAGACTGTGGAACCTAAGGCCGTTAAACTTGAAACCCTAAACCCCTGCCCCCCAAACCCTAAACCCTAAACCCCTAAACCCCTAAACCCCTAAACCCCTAAACCCTTAAACCCCTAAACCCCTAAACCCCTAAACCCGTAAACCCCTAAACCCCTAAACCCCTAAACCTCTACATCCCTACACCCCTACACCCCTAAACCCCTACACCCGTAAACCCTAAACCTCCCAACCCCTAAACCCGAAGGAGCTCTACCTGGCCAACAATGAGCTGGAGCGGCTTCCCGAGGAATGCTGCGAGTATTTTGGCCAGGTTTCAGATTTCCTCTGTATGGTTTGGGAGTTCAAGGATAGGGTTTAGGGTGGGTTCAGAGCTTCGGGTTTGGGTTCAGCAGTTCATGTACTAGCTTTCACTAGTCAAGCAGCTTGTCAAGCGTTGGAAAATTACCCACCCACCTGGGAATTCCCAGGGCCCAAACCCTAAAGCTGCCCCAAACCCTAGCCAAACCCAAGGGCTACAAACCCAAGGGCCGCAAACCCGAGGGGCCCTAAACCGTGGGCTGGGTCCTAAACCCTGTGCCCCCAAACCCTCGGGCCTAAACCCTAAACGGAACCCCAGGATTCGGACAAAAGTGGCCGATTCCAGTTGAATATATTTTGTTATGGCAGAAATGACTCCCCTCATTTTTAAGATGCTGGTCCAGGGCCCAGGAGAAAACAATATGCCGACGAAGTACGTCAGGGTTCAGGGCCACCAGGGAAAAACAACATGCCGACGAAGCGCGTTAGGGTTTAGGGCCCCTTACCCTATGTCCCTAGGACCATTCAACGGGAGCCCCTGAGGGGGACCCAAGGATCCGGCCAAAAGTGTCCGATTCCAACTAGGTCTCAAACAGAATTTTATGGTCCAGGGCCCAGGAAAGCAACAATATGCCGACGAAGTGCGTCAGGATTTGGGCACCAACAAACAATATGCCGATGAAACCCATTAGGGTTTAAATTACTAACTAATTGAATAAAAAGTTACATATATATATATATGTATATATAGTAAGAGAGGGTTCAGGGTTTAGGGTTTAGGGTTGTTGAGCCCTGGGGGGCATAAATCATTGCGGCTCTGGTGATGATCTTGCTTATGCGACTGTGTAGTTCCCCAAGTCATGGTCCGATTTTTGGGTGAGGGCATCTGGTTCTGAGGGACCCCATTCGAAGACAGCCTTGCATCCTCGCAGCACTTCCATAAACCTCAAGCCCAAGCCTAATCCCTCTCTAGCACCCACCACAAAAGCGCCCTTAACCAGGCTGAGGGGCTTCAACACGACAAAGCTCCCCTGAAGTTTTAAGGCCCAAGAACCCTCAGTCGCCGTTCAACCCCTCAAGCCCCAAAAAGCCACGAGCCCTGAAGCTCTAAAGACTTCAAGTCCTTGGCCCCTAAACCCCTACACCACAAAGCCCTTAAACCCCTAAACCCCGAAGCCCTCGAAACCATAAAGGTTGGGATGTTCCCCCCTATACTACCAGGCATTCTACGGATTATAGTACCTCTGAGTATAACGCCTATTAAGGACTGTTAGTATAAGGGGGAACATCCCAATTTAAAGGCCCCAAAGGCCCAAAGCCCCAAATCCGAAGCTCAAGGCTTGGTGAGCTTGAAATGATCCAGCTGGGTTCGAACCAGCGCCTTGCAACGAAGCCGAGGGTTTCGGGCTTTTAGGGCTTGAGGTGTAGGGGTTTGGGGGTTACAGGTGAAAAAAATTGAAGGTTAGGGTTTGGGGTTTAGGCCTTGGGGAGCCCAGTGGTGTCCTTGTGCGATGTTTGGGGTTCTTGACGCCTCGAAAGGACGAAGCAGCACCAAAAAGGGTGCGCTGACTGTGTTTTGGTCTATGATTGCAGCGTTGCCTACGCGAGACAGGATGTTTGTGGTCGGGTTTCGGGTTTATGGGCTTCAGGTTTTTAGGCTTTCCGAAAAACCTAAACCCCCAAACCCGGAGCCTGAACCTGCCCTAAAGCCTAAAATCCAAGCCATAAAGCCTCTCGAGGTTGACTGAGCTCCCAGAGCACCTGGGGCGTTTGCAGGCGCGCGTGCATGGATGCGGGTTCATGTTCCAGGGACTCGGGGTTATGGCTAAGATCACAGTCCATTTTCTATCGCCGTTCCTTTTCGCTTCGGAGCCGCCCCAAAAAGGGACCACAATTCTTGCTTTCCCCCGCGCATGAGGCAAGAAGTAAGCGCTAGTCCAATTCCAGGCTCCCCTGCATCAATCGTATCGTGCCTACAGCCACTAAAGCCCCAAAACCCCAAAGCCCCAAACCCGAAAAGCCGAATGATCTACACCTTACACCCTCAAGCCCAAACCCTAAAACCCAAAACTCAAAAGCCCATAACTTCTCAGACCCAAAAGCACGAAAGAAATCAAGAAGCATCCTTGCAAGAGGCGCTCCTCGAGCTACATATCGGCAGCAACAAGTTCCCGGGCTCTTAGGGTTTTAGGGTTTTAGGGTTTTAGGGTTTTAGGGTTTTAGGGTTTTAGGGTTTAGGGTCATAGGGTTTACGGTTTATGGGTTTGGGGTGTAAGGTTTTGGAGCTTCAGGGTTTAGGGTTCAGGGTTGAGGGTGAGTTTTTTGGGTCGTACTACCCTGAAACTTGTTTGACTGGTGGACACTTCTACTTGGAGATTCTAGCACTGCTATGAATGGGGTATCATTGCTCCGCAGAACCTTCTTGACTGACCTTGCATAGGTTCCCGCAATTACAAACCGGGTTACAACAAGTTCTGAGAAGCCAACAACGCCCACTTCTAGAGTCCTGACGCTGACGCGACGGCAAGCCCTAAACCCCAGCCCTCGAATCCGCACACTAAAGCCCTGAAATGTTTGATCCCTCAAACAACCACCCTAAACCCAAAAGTCTTCAAACCCCCTGAACCCCTCGAAACCCCCAAGCTCAAGGCCTAGGCCGGCCCTTTTTGAAAAGGCGGCACCTAAACCCTTCGACCTCGACAGACCGACCTGGGTCACTTGCGCACCTCCAGGGGGATGGTAGCACCCACGATGGGACCGGTGCTCTTCGCATGTCACGCCTTCGGAATGATTCTGTATTCGAGTCTTCTCTGCTTCATCAAAGCAAGGCCCTAAGGCCCTAAGGCCCTAAGCCAGGCCTGAATCTCCTTTCCAGACTTCCGTGCCTGCGTGCCTTGTTCCCCTAAAGAATCCCAGTGCCCAGGCTCACGCACCTGCCAGCCAGCATAGGCCAGGTGGTGTTTAGGGCTCTAGGAGCTGTAGGAGGTTTACGGGTTCGAGTTTAGGTCTTAGGAGGTCTTCAGGGATTTAGGGGGTTTGAAGGCTCTAGGGTTTGAAGGCTCTAGGGTTGAGGGCTTAGGCTTTACAAGCCTCTAAACCCCAACAGGTTTTAAGGTTAGGGTTCGAGGCTTAGGGCTTAGTGCCTGCACGCTGAGCGGAAGGGAAGCTGAGTGCCTGCCGTTGGGGCCTTTGCCAAAAAGTCGCTTGTGCATGCTGTAACGGCTTGGAGTCTGGGGTTTAAAGTTTGGCGCAAGGACCTCGCACCGTCGTGTAAAGGTTTGTAAGGTTTAGGTTCAGGGTTTAGGCTTCCAAGGCTGTGGGGCGACATTGAAATGTAGGAACCTTGAAATCTTGGGGATGCTGAGCTAGTGTTGTACGCAGTGCGGCTCGGATACGTGCAACACTCTCTCAACTTTTTTGAGCCTGCAGTTGCCGATGAGCTGAGAGAAGATGCAAGCCGTCTGGAACCACATGCACGTTTGACTTCTCTTGCGCTTCATCGGTTGTAAGTTTAGATTTGGACATGCTGTTGGGTTGTCTGCCTCCGTTCGTTGAGGAACGAGGTAGCTCGGGACCGCGCCAAGAACCGCATGGCTCAACATCCTTGTCAACCCTGCGAGCTCTGATTGGAGCCTCTGCAAGCGCCCTTGTATGCTATCTCTTTCCCCTCCAAAACTAGGGTCTTGATCTTCAGAGGAGTGGCCCGGTGATGTGGCAACGGTCCTCATCAGAGGAGTCGCCCCGTTCGCTTAACCCTAGCTTTTACTTACCCGTGGCATTCTCGGTGATGTCACTCTTGCAGTGAGACTCAACATCGGCTGGCACTTGGGTTGTTTTTAGCTTAAGGATTCGGGAGTCCCTAAGAGCTGCCATGACGTACGAGGCCCCCAGCCCCAGAATTTACCCAGCCCGCTTCGAGTGCTCGTGCAAGGCGAGTTGCAGGGCTTGCAGCAGCTATTCCTGGCCGGCAACGAGCTTAAGGCTGTCCGGGCGGAGCGCGCTCTAGCAGTTTCAGGTCCTTGGTATACTAGAACCACATCCTAGCGCACTGGCCCCATACCCCTGCAGAGGTTTCATTAAACCTTAAGTCCCAGGCCTCATCGCAAATGTTGTGCATATTTGCCATACCTGCCGGCTGCTGAGGCACGCCGCGGCTATAGGCGGTTCTTCTGGTAGAGGGTTGAATGTTTACGGTAGAAACACATAGCATGCTTTCGGCACATGGGCCATCAGGCCAGGAAATGAACCGCCAACGTTAGAGCCTACATCCAAGAATCTGAAATCCTTCGACGCTACAAAAGCTGCCCGGGGACCCTGAGCTCCACGAGGCGTTGCCGGAAACCTTCACCCTGGCGAGCTTGCAGAAGCTGCTGGGTATCCAGCGATCTTCACCTTGAGCTTGGGGATGTCTCGGGTTTGGAGGTTCGGGGTTAAGTCTCGACAGGATGGTGAGTTGAAGGGTGTCCTGGACTTCAACGGGCCCCCGCCTCAATTCCGAAAACCTGCACTGAACAGCCGTAGCTCTTGAACTACCCAAAGCCGACACGAATTTTCCTTGGCAAACGCCAGAGCTTGCCGCCTGCCAGCACCACCAAAGGAGTGGGGTTTAGGGCTCAGGATTGCTTGAAGGGTTCAAGGTTTGGCGTTTAGGTGCGAGTTCCTCCTGAGTGCAACACAGCGAGTTGAGCAAAGGCTAGAGTTCTGGGTTTGGGTTTAGGATTAAATAGCCACTATGTTTGCAGGGGGGTTTTAGGGCATCTTGTGGGTGGGGGGGGGGAGGGGGATTCGGGAAGTTAGGATTTTAGGGAGCATGTCAGGATTCTTTGTATGGGAGGAGTCGCAGTAGCTTGGGGAGTTTCTTGTGCCCTTTGAGTCCCTGGCCTTGTGGCCCCCGTAACGACCTCAACGCTGAACCGTAAGCGCTCAGCTTAGGTTGCATCTGTCCTGCCCTAAGAATGCGCCACAGCGTTCTTTCGGGTTGAGTCAAGGTTTCGGGTTTACGGTAGGGGCATTCCTCCGGGTGACCCTTTGCCGGGAAGGGTTCGGGTTTAGGGGTTTGTGGGTTTTTAGGGTTTGGGGATTTGGGTTGTGCGCATTTTTTGTCATTCTGCGGCATGTCGCTTAGCCCCAAGTTGAGCGGCTTGGGTTGGATATGGGCACTTGGCAAGACACCCGCTTCTTTGGAACAGAACCTCCTCCACTGTGATATCTTACAGAAAGCGAAGCTGCGGGCGCTCAGAGACCGAGCTTGGGGGCCGGGTGGTCATTCCAAACATGCACACGCACACGAGCAGCCAAACCACTGGAAAGCAACAAACTCAGGTTTTGCCAATTTGGCTACTCGGACTCTAACCGTGTCCCCTGTGGCATGTGGGAGAATAGACCCTAAACCGAAGCCCGGCCCCCTGACCCTTAAACGCTAAACCGTGTGGGGTGCAGGTTTTGGCTCTAGGAGGCATGCGTGAGCACAGGTACAGGTGCAGGATGGGAATCCGAAACCAGACAAAAACCCAATCAAAGACCACTTCAAGGGCATCCCACGAGCACAACCCAGAAGCACTCCAAGAGATCTCCAGTTGACTGCAGTTGACTATTTGCATTAAGGAGAGTACTCTGCTAGCCTCCAGGAAACCAAGGAAGCAAGTGTCTGACTCAAGGCAGAGATCATCAGAGGCCGCGCTCGTGCATCGAAATAGGAACGGGAGCGCGATTTTTGGCAATCACGCCGACATGCAGTTCCCCCTCCAAAGGATGCTGGAAACGAACCCATCCGAATTGCCAACATTCATAGGAAAGTACGCAACCCCCCCCCCCCCCCACCCCCCGGCAAATTTTTGCGACATGGAGTGCTGCAAGCCCGCACGGGACTGGGGCGAACATAACTTCATATGTGCAGAAGGTGCATGGCACCTAGGAAGAGAGCGCCATTTGTCACCTGCCTCGACGCAAAAACCATAAAAAAGCCATGGCCTTTTGCAGTGTTTCGGATGGCGTGCGAGGTTTGCGTGCTCTCCAGAGCGTGGGAGCTCACGGCGAAAGCCCTAAGCCCAATAATTAGCCCCCCAAACCCGAGACTAGAACCGTACTGAAAGCCAGAAACCCGATAAATCCAAAAGCCCAAGACTGGAACCTTATGTAAAACCTCAGGGTCGTCCTCAGCACTGCAGGCGGGCGAACCAGATCGAGAGCCTCGCCGAGAGCTTCGGGGACCTGCGGAGCCTTAAGAAGCTGCCCCTGGGCTTTAAGAGGGTCTAGTCGGGATTTGCCTAGGGCTTCTTGGGATTTAGGGCTTCTTGGGTGGCAGGGCTTGGGTTTCACGGCTTATCGGGTTCGGGGGCTTGAGTTTCAGGGTTTGTTGGGTTTTTAGCCTGATAGTTCTGTGGCTGTTAGGGTCGAAGCTTTGTGGGGATTAGGGGTTTCAGGTTAAGGGGCTGAGGCTGTGGGGCTCTAAACCCTAGGGTTCAGCACTTTAGGGCTGCAGGTTCACAGGGTTTAGGCCAGGAGTCTTCTACATGCGATGTCGAGCCTAAAGCCCTAAACCGTATTCGGGTTTGGAAGCATGGCTGTGGCTCGCAAAGCCCACGCCCGCAGCAGCCCAACCCTTAATTGTTCCTGAAAGGCCTAAAGCCTAAAGCTCTTAACCTTCGCCCTGAAATCCTAACCGCTAGGCCCTAGAAAGTAAAAAGCCTTCAACCCCGAAACCTGAACCCCACAGCCCTAAGCTCTACCGCCAGAAGCCCTATGTAAACTCTCCACCCTCAATCCAGAGTCTTACTTAGACCTGGAACACGGAGGTTTCTGGACTCCAACAAGCTCCAGGTTCGCTTTCCGGGTTTAGGGTTTATTAGGGTTTAGGGTTTAAGGTTTAAGGTTTAGGGTCTCCACCAATTAGGATGCCTTTTCAGGGGGCACAAAGCACCGCACCGTAGTTTTTGGAAGCTCCCGTTTGATCAAAGTTTTGACCGTGCACTTGCATTGCAGCTTGGGTGCACGAGGTTTCTTCCCCAAGTTGAGGATGCGCCTTCAACCGCTGCTTGTGTAAGTGCAGAGCTTTCATCACGCAGCTGACGCAGCTACCGCGCGTTGTATTTCCCCCGTTATTGCCAGCCCTACAAGGATTCGGGATTGCGTACGCAGGTGATGAGAGCATCGTTCAGCCGCGTCAAGCAGATGCTTGAGTTGGTTTTTATCTGCAATTGGTTGAGTATCACCTCAAACTGATTGCCTTAGAAGAGTTTTTGGAAGCATATGAACGGCCCTCATTCCCTAAACATCCCTAAACACTCCGATTCGCTTTTCTTGGGTATAGGGGACCCTGAACCCTAAACCCTAAACCCTAAACCCTAAACCCTAAACCCTAAACCCTAAACCCTAAACCCTAAACCCTAAACCCTAAACCCTAAACTGCCGAGAGCGCCGCTGTCCATTTACATGGGCGCTCGAGGCTTCGACCGAGGTCCCCGACCGAGCGTCTCCACAGAACGGTGAGGGCCTCCCGGTAGACGGGGCCTGCAGTGCCTGGCTACGCCTCAGACCCCAGGGCGTCAGCCCCAATATAATGTTTCGAATCATAAACCTGACAATTTCTTGGCCCTCCCCTGCCGCCTGGCGCCCCTTGAGGACCTCCAAACCTGCCTTTCCTGGAACCCTTCAACTTTGCAAACTGTTTTCATAGTTGAAAGCAGGGGCCGGCCGAGGCCCCTGCTTCCCCCTACCGTTTTGCTGCCCTAAGGCTGCATGAAACTCCGCGATCCAGGAGTGCACAAAGCACGACAAGAATCAAGAAGGTGCGAACAGCTCAAGAGACAAGTTGGCAGGTTCGCCGAGCAGGAATAGGCCCCGGCAAACCCAGCGGTTTAGGGCTTGGGATGGTTTAGGGCCGGGTTTTCCGGTTTGGCAATTTGGTGCTTAAGTATGGCTGTGCCCGGCCTTAAGCTCAACTTGTGTGGTTGTTTTGCTTGTTGGGGTATCCCCTCCGAGATCAGATCACAGTTTTCCTCCCCAAGCTTCGCGCGTGGCTCCGGGAATTGCCCTTCAGGAGAACAGTGGCCGGGGCGATCAGAACTTGGAGTGATCTTGAGAGTTGAGGTTGGCTGAGGTTGCAGCTTGGTTTAGGATAGTTCGTGCGGACTCTTGCATCCATGAATTGCGCAGTCACGGTGTTGCTTTGCTGCTTTCTCTTATAGTCCGGCCTTAGATTCGTTGGTTTGCTTCTTGGTGCGTTTGGCTTAAACTGTCTGTTTTGCTTGTCGGCACTTCTGGTCTTGACTGGCTGTTTGCTCATGGGTGCGCCCGAGCTCACGTGCTCTCATGTGGTTCATGT